GATGTCGATCCGCATAAGATGAGTTTGATCAAGTTGCTACTCTTCAAGCCTTTGGGGCAAAGCAATGACATGGATGAAAAAGGCAATCCGCAGGACCCGTACAGGGCCATCTTTCTGGATGTGGAGAAAGGAACCAAAAAGATGAAACGAGGAGACCATGAAAATCCATATGATGCCTTTCCAAGAGCATGGAAACACTACTGGCAGCACACTGTTTTGCCCAAAGCTGCGGATGCTGAAAAAAAAATTGAAGTACGGATGGAAATACCTACTTTGTGGGAGTGCTTGGAAGTATTCCAGTTGCAAAAAGAATTGGCTCAAGAGAAATACTTGATTCCATTGGACAAGGATTGCACGAACAAACTGGGTTGCGATGCGAGTGCAAAGTTGCAGAACCGTTTGACTGTCCAAGAGTATGTTTGCTACTTGACAAAAAGAGTAGTCAAGAACTTAGATGCTTACGGACGTGCTAAGGCAGCACCCAAAACCAAGTCGTATGCTTTGGACGCAGATGCAAAAGAAGATCCAGGATTAGTGCGTGAAGGCCACGGGACTGGAGATACTGGCGAATCCTTTGAACCAGCTTTCGAAGATGCTTTGGATCCAGACATCGATGGGGAGGTTCGACTCAAGGCTGGAGATGCACCTTTAAAAGTACATTATCCACTGACTTCATCGCAGCGTTCGCAAGCCATGACCTTTCATCGTCAAAAGCAAACCAAGTTTGTGCGCGACATGATTTCTGTGGGCCTTTTGCCCTTGACAGGGGATGAAGAAGCGTTGCATAGAACTGCGGCCTACAAGCGCGCGAGTGGCACTGCAGTGAATCCACGAGCAGAACAACTGAGGTTGAAAGAGAAAGTGCCCATGATCACGCAGCCGCTACTGGATGCTCAGCGCGCCGCCATGACAAATGATAGCATGGGCCTCAGCCGCTTGTCGGCGGACCGGGCTGCTACGAGCGACTGCGCAGAGCGCGCAGGAGAGTTGGCTGCAAACAGTGATGTCGCGATGCCAGAAGCAGAATGGCGCACCTTTAGCAAGCCATCTGCAGCGATGGCGCGGAAGGTTGCTGCGTTTGAAAAGTCTGCCGCTGGATTCAAGCTGGCGCCGGAGCAATTGTCTGCTTGCAGATGGTTTGGTGAGGCAATGGATGTCGCTTTACAGGAAGAAGAGAACAAAATACCTTTGCGAAAACGTGCGCAGCACGCATGCCTTTTGATTGGCGCCGGTGGCACTGGCAAGACGACAATCATTTTGAAGCTCATGCTGGATGTTTTTTGTCACTTTTTTCCAGCCAGGCCCGGAGAAGAAGAGCGATACATGATTGCCACCTTCAGCCATGCCCAATCGGATGCCATTTCCAATGATGTCTATCGCGCGCGAACATGTCATACTGCTTGCTCGTATCGTGTAGCCAGTTTGCGCAACAAGCATTTGGCCTTGAAGACAAAAGAGCAAGAGATGAAACAACGCTGGCAGCCGAAAATTTTAATCATTCAAGATGAAATCAGTTTGGTGCCAGCTGCAGTGGAAAACATGATGCTTTACCGCAGCATGCGCGCCCGTCAAGATGAAGGCCTTGATCCAGCCAGCTATTTCCACCCAGGAGAGCTCATGGGACACATACCAATTTTGCTGATTGCAGGTGATTTTTTGCAGATCAAGCCTGCCAACGAGATCTCCTTAGCTGACAATCTCGAAGAGCTGATCCGCAAAATGCCGCACAGAGTGCAGACAGAACACCATGCTGCCCAGGCGGCATTGATGACCATTGATACAGTGATTCATTTGAAGAAGTCGAAGCGGTTTCTGGATGCTCACCTGCCAGAAATCACAACAGCCATGCGCACGTGCACGCCTGCTGCTCCCTTGTCCGAGAATCACTTGGCTCAGCTGCGCACTCGCAAAATCGAAAATTGCAAGAAAGAACTAACCACAGACTTGTTCAAGCATGGTCACGTCATTGGCATGTATTGGGAGAACATTGCTCGCAGCATGGTGGAACGGGCAAATCGAGATGCGCAAGACCTGGATGTGCCGTTATTTTGTTTGCAAGCTGCCGACCAAAGGCATTCCAGAAAAAATAAAACCATAGACAAGCAGCTGACGCATCAGCTGCTCACTGTTCCAAACCCGCATCGCACTGGCAAATTGCAAGGCATGCTACTGGTGCACGAGAACATGGTTGTGCGACTGGCGGATGTCTTGGCTCCACACCTTGGATTGGTTAAAGACAAACTGGCAGTGGTAGTGAAAGTGGATTTGCACCATGAAGATCAGAAGCGCCTGGACCGTTGTGAACCTGGATTCTGTCATTTTTTTCCGGACTACATGGCCAAAGGTATCTGGGTGAAATTACTTAAAGGAAAGAATTCGCCCATGGAAGATGCTCTGTTGCAGACGTGGGAAGAAAAGTTTCAGAATGTGGCCGATCACACAACTGACGCAAAGACATTGTTCTTTGTGGAATTGGTGCATGCAGAGTTCAAAATTGATTTGAAAGTAGGCGAGGAAACGGAGAAAATTGAAGTGATTCGCTGGCAGTTCCCGCTTTTGCATGGCATGCTGCGCACTGCTTACAGCGCGCAAGGCTTGACTTTGGACGGAGGTGTGCTGGTTGATTTGCGTCGCGGTGGTGGCCTAGAGGATGCGGACTGGTGGCTAGCCATCTATGTCATGCTGACGCGTGCCCGCAAACTGAAGAATCTCATCTTGCTGGGGTTCACGGAGCAAGTGGAGGAGCTTTTACGCAAAGGCCCTCCTACCTACTTGCGAGAACTGACTGACAAGTTGGAAGCCAAAGCTGCTTCGACGCTGGAGCGGCTGCAGTCCTGGCCTGTCTATGATGCATTGCAAGCATCCTGACACAGTGCTCTGCCAGTGGGACCTAATCGGTTTTGACTGAAGAGGTCCGGGGGAGGCATAGGCCTGACACGTTGCTCTACCTGTGGGACCTAATCGGTTTTGATTGAAGACGTCTGGTGGAGAAATAGAGAGTTGCAGCTGCAGCGATCTGATGAAGTAACACTGGCATGGTTTTGTTGAGTTTAGACGTGAGCTTGCGAGCCTTTGACTTTGGTTCAGGGGTCCACTGGCTTGGTTCAGTCATGTTTGTACAAACATGTTTGACAGGCGGCATGCTGACATGTTTGGGCATGTTTGTTTGTTTGGCTCAGGTGGTCCACTGGCTTGTTTGGTCATGTTTAAACAAACCTGTTGAGAGCTCTGGAGTTTACTTCACATGGCCCACTGACATGTTTATATCCTGTTTGATAGTCTGACCTGTACAATGACCTGCCAGGTGAAACAAATGATTGGGATAGTTAGTTGGGCAAAAGTCCCGTGACAAAAGCTTCAGACAAAAGTGGTGTCAACAAGCTGTTTTGAAATGTCATGGTGGGGATCACTCGAAGTAAAGTAATTTTGCTGTTCCCATTTTTCGGATTTTTTGGCTCAACATGAACCTGAGGCCAACATAGGCTAACCTAGCCACAACATGGGCCCACATAGTTGGGCCCCTGGCCGGCTATCGCGCGTAAAGGCTTAAATCCGGCCAGGGGCCCCTTGCCGAAGGCGTTTCTCTCCTCTCCGTAGGAGAAAGGGGCCCCCTGCCGCCGACACCCCCGGCCGCCAAAAACAATCGCGTTTTACGGTGTTTTGTGTTCTTCGCATTTTTTCTCCTTTTTCGGAGCTTGTGGCTCAAGATGGGTCAACATGGACCAAGATAGGTGTCAAGAAGGGCGAACATAGTCCCAAGATGGGCCAATATAACCTCCAAAAGGGACCAACATAGTCCCAAAATGGGCCAACATAGTTCCAAAATGGGCCCACATAACCTCAAGCCGATACAATATAGCCCCCAAGATCGGCCAACATAGACCCAAGATGTTCCAATATAGCCCCCCAAGATAGGCCGCCGACCCTCAAAATATCCTGTGTTTTATAGTGTTTTTTTGCTCTTCCCATTTTTCGGATCTTTTGGTTCCGTACAGGTCAACATGGCCCAACATAGGCCTCCAAATCGGTCGACAAAGGCCTCAAAATCGGCCCACATAGCCTTCAAGATAGGCCAACATAGCCCCAAGTTGGGTCAACATAGCTCCAAGCTAAGCCCACATTACCCGCAAGATAGGCCAACATAGGCCAACAGATGGGCCAACATAGTTGGGCCCCTGCCCCTAACCTCGCGGTGGGGTATGCGTGTCGACAGAATCCCCTGTAATTTACAATCTTTTTTGGCCCTGTGACATTCAACATGTGTTTTAGCGCTAATATCGCGCACGATCCCCCAACATAGCCCCAAGATGCCCCAACATAGGCGAACATTGCCCCAAGATGGGCGCAATATGGGCTAACATAGGCCCAAGATGAGCGAACATACCCCCAAGATAAGCGCAACATAGGCCCAAAATGGGCTAACATGGGACCAAAATGGCACAAAATAGACCCAACAACCAACCAATCACCAACAACCAACAACCACAAGAACGACCGCAACCACAACCACAACCACAACCACAACCACCGCAGCAACAACAACAACAACAACAAGAAGAAGCAGGCCAACATAGTTGGGCCCCTGGCCGGCTGTCGCGCGTAAGCGCTTAAATAAACCTCAATTTAAACGAAAAACGATTTATATTACCTCATAAATCGCCTTAATATTAAAATACTGCTATTACGATCGCCAATAATTTTCATAAAATCAAATATATAGCCTTTTTGTTGACGAAAAAAATCAATTCGTAGATATAATTACCGCCTTTCTCCCCATTTTTAAATATTTTTTTCTCCCATAGTAACCCTCTTCACATCTCCAGTCTATTCCCATCTCCATTCTCTCCATATCTTTACTCTCTTCATTTCTCTGCTCTCTCCACACCTCTGCTCTCTTTACTTCTCTACTTTTCACAAATCCACACTATCCATATAACGGAGTTTAGACTTCTAGACTTCCTTTGTTATTTGTAAAACAAATTGCTATTATACAGGTATATTTTTTTTTCTGAATGCTATTTATTTTCTGAGGAGTCGGATTTTAGCTTTTCCATTTTGTTTTCCTGGCAATATACAATCTCTGTAAGCAATGCCATTGCAACAACATCCCGCACCTCCTTGGCTTTCTTGTCTTTTTTTGCCTTTTTCTTCTCCTTCTTTTTCTTCTTCCTCAAGTTTTCACAATCCAGAGCAAGAACATTTTGAAGCACAAGGATTTACGTTTCAGTCAAGATTCTTGCGCTTCTTTTCCTTGTGCAGAGAACACGGTCAACAAACTTTCAGAATTCAAAGGACGCTTGACTGATTGCGGTGAAGGTAATTGACACAAGCAGCGCGCCTCGCTATCTGATGAAGAGCTGACCCTGGCAAAAGCTGAGTTAATTGCTTCTGAAGCAAAGATCATAGATTTAAGGCGAGATCAAGTGATAACAACATCATGGACATTTCAACTTGGTTGGTTTCATCCTTGAGGCTGAAACCCAGAGACACCAGCAGCCCGCAAGTTTTGACTGAGCAGCTTGGCCAATGGCACATGGAAACCTTCAAAATCAAAAGCGGACGGCTCAATCAGGAAGGTAAACCAAATACGGCAGAGAAGTTGTCGTGCTAGCCTGGATATGCATCAACCAAAGCCCTGTAGAAATCTGCCAGCTTTGGGAGCTCACTCTTCTCCAGGAGGTTTTCAGCCTTGGTTGCAATAATTTGAAGTGCGCTACCCACATCACCAAGCAAACCATGCCTCTACCGCAGCCTTTGGAGGCTTCTTGCCATACCGTTCCGCCAAGCGTTCCTGGACCAGAAAAAACCAGGACCATTTCAGCAGAAGTTTCATCAAATTTCAAATTCGTTGTCGGGTTCAATGCATCCCAAAAATGTGAAAGTTCATCAAGGATCATGATACCAGTTTTGAGGATGAAACTAAAAAGCCTTTGAAGTGATCAATCACTTTTAATTGTTTACAGAATATTGTTTTTGCTGGTCAATGCAGGTAAAACAAAACCATGCCCTTTGTAAACTACTTTCTAACCACCAACCAGAAATCCATATCTGCTGGCGCCAGAAGGTTTCCCGCTCTGGCCTTACCACTGACCATCGCAGGTCGAGGTGCGACAGTGGCTGCTTCAGGTTCTGCTTCTTCCTGTCCAACTTGGCCAGAAAATGGCAGCATGACTAACATCAGGCAGCCAGCAAAAAACCTCCTACTTTGTGGGTTATCAGATAGTATATTGATGTATACTGATTCATTTCCATGTATGCCAGAAAATTTCCCGGTAAGCCAACAAACCAAGGTTTATCCGACACCTCATCGAAAGCATTGGGAGCCCTGGTCACAGTGATTCGTTTGGAAGCGCTGCTGCCAGGTGGGGCAGGAAGCACCTGCGTTGATGCAAAAAACTGCAAAGAACCCCCCCGCAAGCCATGAAGCCAACCACATGAACCACCATGTGTTGCCATATATCTTCAAGACACATTTTGGCAATACATGAGACTCAACCAGGGACTTCCAGCCTCACACTTCAAGTCCAAGTGCCGGCAAATCGCCGCTATCTCTTCGGACGCCTGCAAAGAGATCGACCAGCTTTGAAACATCAGCTGACTGGCCAAAACTTCCAACATCACGATGCAAAAAAAACCTTGGCATCGGCACTTGTCAAAACCCAACACTAGGTTCAAAAGGCTTCTTTTCGCAGTAGACAAACGCCTTGGCATCCACATCTAGACCTCAGGCAACATGTCACATAAGCTTAGAGACAAATGCTTCACAGAGGAAGAAATGGGCTGGTTGTAGGTGTAGGTCGTTCAAATCAAAACTGTATTAATAAAAATAATATGTGTGTGAAATCCGAAAACGGCATGAGATCAAAGAAAACATCTGAAAACTCTCTGAATTGCCAAAGGACTACCACCTGAGGCTGCTGCTGAGCTTGTCATCATCGTCACTTGCAGCCAACCTTGAGTCATTGCGTGATGTTTTCTCATCAAATCTGCGGTTGGCCTGAGCCATCCACTTGGCTAAGGTGGAATAGTGCGGTGACAGGCGGAGTCTGGCCGCCATGCAACGTTGAGGTGACTAAAGGTGACCGGGACATGGAACTTGTTATTTTTGCGCGGTCCACGTGATCACCATGTGATCATCACATTTCATTGAACTTCATTGAACTTCATCCCATTTTCAAGGCGAGTATGCTTTTATCAAGCGACTTGCTTTGCATGTTTCTGCTCTTTGATCTGAGCCAACTGCATCACCACGACATAACACCGGGTTAAAGCCAACAATCAAGCGGCAGGTTGCCAGTTGCCCAAAGTGCACCGCAAGTCTCTCTGGCTGGTCTCAGTGCTGCGAGCCTCTGTGAGGCGTGTCATTTTCTCTGCACGATGCTCCAACTGAACTCTGCTCGACACTCCCAATCTGACACGAGCTGAATCGTCACCGGTTAGATGAAGCAATCCATGCTCGAAGTAATGTGGCCATGACACTGCTTCGCAAAAGGAAGGTTCACTGATTGGAAGCTTGGAGCTTCTTTCTCAAGTGTTCTCCAGCAGAAATGCGAGCATACCTGAAAGCAGAAGTCCATACTAGAAACTACTCATGCTTTTGCGAGAACATCAATTCTCGATACTTTGAAGATGTTTGTAATTTTCCTCGCTGTGATCTTCAACAGCTGTCCAGTCGATCAAGTCCAATCAGGCGCACTTTGCTGGCCGCTCTGGGCTGACACAAGTGGGCCTTGGGAAGCAGCAGCCAATTCGTGATACCTTGAAATTCAAAAGACCATATTAGTTCCATAGCCAGGCGCGAACTAACATGCGAACCGAAAACCAGACTTCTCTTCTTCTCATTGAGACTTCAACTGCTCTGGTTCAAAATTCTGCGAGACCACACCACTTTGTCAACCAAATCAACACTGCTGTGCACTGCTGTGCCGAGGCAACCACAGAGGCTCCACAATCGTGTCGTTGCCCGGACCAGTGAACACCACCAAGCTGATTCGAGCATGTTCATCCTGCACGAAATGGCGTCTGCACTACAAACCCACACTGCACCTCGCAGATTTTTCCCTGAGTCAAGTTAGCCAGTTGGAAATGCATGGTGATGCTCTCTGAGTGCCCGGCTCCAGGTGGAGGGTTAGCAACCCGATGCACGTTGGAAAGAAACTCGTCATTGGTCCATGCCTGTACCACGTGGTACCACGTGGTACCACGTGGTACCACGTAAAACCACCAGAGCTTCACTTTGGAAAACTTTGGTGTCTGGAGGATGCAATAAAGACTTCCTGTGTTTTTACATAGAATCCCCAAATTGGCATCAAATTCTGCTTTTACTTGTCATGGGCAAAACTGCGAGATCAAGTTTCAGAGCAGTTTCTTTCGTCCAACAATTTGATTTTTGCAGTCTAATTGCTCAAAAAACGACAGAAATGTGATCTCCTCCAATTTCAATCTCTTACAGATTTCTCTTCTTTATCTGGGGGGTCACCTGTTCAACATCCCTAACCTTTCCCCACCTGAATCAGGTCTCCAGCATTGATGGTGAAGGCACCCGGCCTCGGATGTCAGCAGGTGATACCTTTGGTATCGTAGAAGGGCCCAGAATGCCCAGAAGGGCTGAAAAATCGGCTTCCGAGTGAAGTCAAAAGAACACCCACCACTCCAATGCTGTACATTGAGAATAGGGCATTGGAGGGCAGTCTGACCATGAACCATCAGGCATTCGGACCTGGTGATCTGATTTTCCCATCCCATGAGTGACGTGGAACCATGACGATTCAAAGTCAAACCACACCATCGAGGACTCAAATATTCGCCTGCAAGCCACCAAGGGGAGGTCGGATGGCCTTCGCAGTTTGGGGACCTTAGTCAATCGACTTTTTGAATTGTCCATTGAAGGTTGACAAAAAATGATGCAATGCCTATAGAAAATATCATTCACGACTACCGCCCCTTGTTGACTCAAGTAAGCATAGGTGATTTCACTGCTTCAACATCTTCAACATCTTCAACATCTTCAACGAACGGCTCTCATTTCCCTCCGTTTCCACCTGAGTCTTAATATCAAGTGCTCTTGTACAATTGTGCTCTCAATGGATTGGGATTTCTTGGGTCCAGGCCATCGATATTGTGGTCTTGCCAAAGCAGCGTGAAGCCTCCGAACCGTCGCCGTTGACAAGTTCATATGGGATCTGTTCTCCCACCTTGAAGGTCTTTGTGGCTTCACCCCTTCAAAAAACAATGAAGCTTCCATTGGGAATGACCATGCTATGCTGTTTTTTTTTCGAATGAAAAACATCAAAAACATATCCAAAAAAACATATCCAAAAAGACAACCAAAGTTGACCAGTGCCACCACTGCCACCCCGGCCCATTTCCGGCGCATTCCCATCCTGTGTAGTCCGTGTGCTCCCCGTAGCGCAGTTGTCTGGGCAGTGGCTCGGCCCCCTTTTCGAAGGGCGGATAGTAGGCCAAGCGCAAGGACATCTCGTTCTGGCATTGGAGGGAATTAATGAAACTAATGACATCATACCACTGTAGATTTGAGAATTTGACAATACATGACAATAGCATAAATAAATAAATATATATAAATATCACAATAAATCATGTCATAAGATGATCAGTTTAGTCTCAGGAGATTCTGACAAATTGGCTGTGTCTTGCGCTTGCAATTTGTTTAGGGAGTCTGGCCAGTCAGGAACAAAAATGAATCCCCAGGACAGAACTCCAACTCTCAGCTTTGGTGTGTTCACAGCGTTTGGAACAGAAGTGTCAGAGTTGAATGCAGCGCCTCTTTCTGCTTGTCCATTATGAAGTACTTGTCAAAGTAATTCATGGGCAAGTCCAGTGATACAGCTGTGAGTGACCTTGCACAAGGTATCAAATGACAAGCAAATGGTGATAACACACGAGCAACAACAAAACTGATCATTTTTAAACTATGTCGTGTCAAAAAACAATGTTGCAAAGCCACACATCTCCTGAGCTGCCTGCATAGTGGTCAGTAGCAACCGACGCAGCTCCTTGATAACATCAGGAAAGGTTGATAGGAGTTGATAGCCATCCCATCTTTGTGAAGGAAATCATCCATGCTCCTCCCGATAGCGTTGCATGACTTCCCTGTAGCCTTCATCTGGGACAACCTCAGAGTTGCAAGGCACATGCGACCTGAGACATCAAACGGATATGTAAAAACTCAGTGCTGAGACAAGAAACCCATCTTGAAATCCCCACCCAAACATGGACCAATTTCTGATCTCAGTCTACACCCTCAAGGTATGTCATATTGATGGAACCTCAAAGTCCAGGTCCCTCCAGGATCGTTCCAATCTTTTTTGGGTTTGGGGTTTTGGAGGCACTGAGACACTGGCATCATCCTCTCTGCCGAGGAAGATCATGGACTCCACGTTATCGGGTGGTCGTGTGGCCTGTGCTCCCAAAACCTGTGGGCTTGGAGCTGTCAGGTGGCAAGTGTGACGACCATGAAACAAATCAACATTTGGTGCCTAAACAAACACGAGGACAATGCACATGTATAAATGTGTATAAACTCTGATTCCGAATGCATAGTCTTGGTCATGATGCTTTGCAGCTTCAACAATGCAATGGTCATCCAGGTTCCTTCTGATTTCCTTGAAAAACATAAATCAAATCTTCATATCATCACTATCCAACAAAGCCCTGAAGCGCACCTTGCTATCTGGGACTTCGGTCGCAGTCGCGCTCACCCTTTCCTTGCCACGGGCTGTGAAGCCACTGGATGCCTTAGGACGGATCCAATGCCATGGTGATACCGAGCATTTCGAGCATTTCCTGTTTGTCTTTTCTCAATTTTTCTCCAATTTTCTCCTCCCATGAGACTGATCTAACCGGTCCTGTCTAGCTTTCCTGCACTAGACTTAGACCGTCTGAAACATGATGCTTGTGCCTTTCAATTTTTTGATCCGATTGAAAATGCAGTCAAGGTGCTCCATACTCTTTGCCGGTGTCACAGCGACTCTTTTCTTCGAAGGGCAATTGAAAGAACTTTTGCGCAGTCGCATATGCATTTTCTATGACATCATCCTGCGCAGCTCTAAGTAGTGGCACAATTTTGTAACAAGCAGCATATCATCATCAGCAAGACCAAACACTTCCACAGTTCCAAAACATGAAATTATGACCCCAATTTCGATTTCTAAGACACATTTCACCACTTTTTTTTTTTCCAAGTCATTTTTTGATGAACCGAATGTATCCCACACATCATTTCATCCGTCTCGGCCCGTCCACGGTCCGGGACCCCATGGCCGATGGCTTGGCAGAAGCCGAACTCGGCAAAGGCCTGGCGCCATGTGCGCGCCACCACTTGGGCGTCCTGGAAAATGACCAGTTTCATGGGAAGATCTACATAATATGTGTAAACACACATGTGTATATATATATATATATGATTATATATGTATGCAATAGATAATATATAATGCACTTGAATATATCTCACAATGCAATATCTACAATATTTGTATAATGACTATGTACACTATGCACTCTGGCAAAATTTGATATTATATATTATATTTTTAAATACACGGAAAATTATGTTTGCGGTTTGAGCCACTGAGGTCCAAAAAATGTGAACTGGTCAAGAGGAGGCTGTTGAACCCGCATTGGCCCATCTTCATGTTTTTAATGCTCGTAGTATTGGATTCTGAAAGGGGCAAAACTTCGAAGTGCCCACTTTAGCATGTAGTTGAAGACCGGGAAGCAATCAAAGTTTTCAATTTTTTGGTGAGATTAAGTCTGCAACTCTTGTACGCCGTTTCCCCTCCATCAACGTCGCGGTGACCTTATCTTGCCCGAATCAACATCAAGCCGCTGATGCCACTTCTCCCCCCCAAATGCAGCCCACAGTCCTCAGGTAAGTTGCTGATTGTCACATCTGGCCTTCGTATGGATGACTTTGTACGCCGCTGAGATGAGTAGAGAAAGACAAATGTTGGATATGGCCAGACGCGATCTGAAAAAGGAAAAGCTTGGTATGGAACAAAGTATAAAGTGTTTGCGTAGTCTCATGCCAACAGCTGTGACTGCAATGAGTTCAAGCTCCAACTCCAAGCAGTGGACAGATTTTGTTTGTCCCATCAGCAGCCTTGGAGCCTTCTCTTGTGCTCGAAGGAAGGGAGACAGATCGAGGACAGGGACTTTTGCCATGGCTGTCAAGCTCCACAAGATTTGAGGTTCAATCAATGAAAAACTTCACGATTGTCACGATTCTGATTTGTTTGGGAGCTAATGCCACTGGCTTCCATGACCCAAAGACCAAAGACTTTGGAGATATGTGGGTTCCGGCAAAAGCATTGCTGCATTGTGGAAGGTCGAACATGTCATTGCTGCATGTCTTCAAGAACATTCCAACTCACCCTTTAAAGTAGTAATGAATTCTTGAAGCATCAAAATCACGAAGGAAGCTTTGAAGTTCAAAAACGAAGGTCAGTCCGAGCAATCGCAAAGAATTATACTTTGCTTGAGAACTTGGCTCAAATGCTGCTAAACCGACTGACCGAACTCTTTTTTCGATTTCTTTATGAATACATCAGCCATAGCCGTTGATGGCTGCCAAACCAAAGGACCGTCGCGGTTCCCGCAACAAAGCATAGCTGGCCTCGGTGGAGTCTGGGCGTCTGGGCGTCGGTCTGCGCGTGGGAAATCGCTCGACATGTCCGAGCTGAGGCTTCAGACCCAAGCGCCCGAGGTGTCCAAGCCTCAGTGACTGTATGATTCTGATTGATTCTGTATGATTGCATGGCATTGCATTGGTTGAATATGTTTGATGTTTTGAATGTTTAGAATGTTTTGATACGATGCAATATAATTAAATATAATCAATATATGCACAAAAAGTGTCACATCAGCTCATGAAAACTATGCAAGTGACACTCGAGCAGCGTGGAACTCTCCATGAGTCCTTCGAGGATCTGAGGCGCCAACAGTCTGTGGTGCCGACTTCGTTATCCACAAAATACCTTGGGAAGCAAGGACTGTCTGGCTCTATCCAGCAATGCGCAATCCTAACGTCCGAACTCCTCAAATTCTTCAAATTCCAAGAGTGCTCTCGACATAGCTTCAGTGATACTGATGTCGATTACTTTCTTTCACTTCAAGTCATTTCCCCGAAATTTCTGGGTGGTCGCACCCTCCAACGATGAAGATAGCCCCAGCTCTGCTGGCTGCACGAACACCTTGTGTGAGAACAGGGAAACAACATTTTGGGGTATCTTCACGCAAATAATAGGTTTGTGAGATAGGTGACGAGGATAGGGATGAGCCTCCTTCCATAGGAACCATAACTGACCCATGGGGTGTACCTGTTCTCTAAGTAGTCTCATGTCAGCTGCTGTCGGGGGCAGAAAACCGCCGAAAACCTGGCCGAGGTCAGCACCCCATCGTGGCACTGGAAGAAAACTCACAGCTTCCCACCTGCAGCCGCTGCAGCCAGGTCTTTTTTCAATGCCGCAATCTACACATACTACACATACTACACATGCTTTCCCATCAAAATTCTGAAATTCTCAGCCGACTAGCATTGTTGGGAAAGTAAATTTCACTAAGCTTCCATAAGTTTTTCCAGACTTATTTGGGATACTTCACAGACTTCACAGATTGGTAGATTAATGGCAGATAAGACCAACTTTTTGGGAAATCAGCTTGGGCCCAAACCCAATCCCCAACGAAGGATCCAACTGCTCCACGATGTCCACATCACGGGTCTTGTCCTTGACGACTGGCTGGGTAGCTTGGTGCTGATATAATGCAGCAAAAATAGGTTTGTTTACCAACATATTTTCTCTCCGCAAGAATGATGGACCTAACTTGACCTAACCAAGAAAAATACGGATGTGATCAGGCTTCCACCAACTAAGATAATGATTTCAACAAAAACTGGAAACAATGGTGATTTCGGTCGGTGCTTTGGCATTAGATTGGTGCTAACAAGACCATGATGCCTTACCAACATGGGGAGACTAGCAGTTCCTTGTTTGTTCACCTAGCTACGCGAGTGGGACAGAACCCACGATATTTGTATATCCCATACATCCATATGTAAGAGGTCAGCCACTCAGTGGGATCACAATCCCATGGAAGTTATGGAAACCTGTTGAGGTTTAAACTGGGAAAAAGCACATCTTATTTGTTGATTTGGTTGATTTTTTCTGAATTGTTTCAATTGTTGAATCACTCCCTGGGATAATCAGGAATTATCAGTTGAATCATCAACATGGATCGCCATGGAAATCCTCCAGATCTGCTTGGTGGTTGCGCCCTCGGTCTTGCTGATTATGTCCCTCACATTTTCGGTGGTTCAAACCCGAATTTATTGTTGCTAAGACAGTAGCCCGATAATATATGTTCGTCCAAAACAGGATACCCCAAAATGCCATAGTTTATCCTCCCAAAAACAGCAATGTTGGGATACATCGCAAAGTCCATTAAACCTAACCCAACACCCCTTGGATTTGCCAGCTGACGGATCCCAACCTCTGGGCTTCCCTGGCATCATAGCCCCCCGCCACAATGATGAGTCCCGAGGAGACAGCTGCAGCCTGGGTGACTGATTTCAAGCGCAAGCCCGTAGTTGGTAAAAAATTACAAAAACAGTGGTAGGTTTCACCTTTTTTTGACCTTTTTCTGGGGATTACTATGCCCCAAAACCGGGAAAGTCAAAATTGGGATCATCATCCTATTTTTTGGGTGGAAACTGCAACATATTTGAAGAGACCAGCTGAGCTGTATGGGCATAGCTCATAAGGTACCAAAAGCTGTCAGACATGTGTTCTTTGGAACAGAAAATCGTTCCCTCTCCGTGTGTGAATGGACATGTCCTCAAGCCGCAGAAACAGAAACTCGATCCCAGAAATTTTAAGACCTCATTCCCTTTTCAACATTTTTCAACATTTTTTAAACTATTAAAAAGGAGGCGGTTATGAAACAGAGACGTCAGTGAATTCTGGTCCTGTGAACTGGACCTATCCAAAGATGACAAAACGCCGAGGGAGATGCTGGGCACATCAGGCTGCCCGGCGAAGTTACATCTCGCTCGTCTCATCAGCGGTAGCACTTCCTGGCATCGATGCACATCGATGCACATCGGTGCAATCGCAGCGGATGTGCACGGGGGAAGAAAATCTGGGTCATTGACCAACCATGTATAACATATGTATAAGGGGTCTAAGCTTGTTTCAAACTTCAAGGATGGAGAAGAGCTATTCATATGGAGTTTCGAAGACATTCCTCATCTGGATTCCACGGCGGCAACATGGGATAAGCATCCGCAGCAGGCATCACAGACCGGAAAACTCAGATTGAATTTCCAGATTTCTGTGCCAATTCAATCTTTGATCAACTTCAAAAATCCCAAAACTAGGAGCACCAAAGTTCCGTGACAATTCTGACCTCAAAACAGATAGAGAAGATCTGAGAAGATCATGAACCCTCCCATCATCCATTTGGGCCATCAGCGAACGGCACCCAATGAGGTCGATCGTGTCGCAGGTCCAACATTTCCGTGGAGGCTAAGGCCACACCATCCTGTCGTGGAGATCATCCCAAGCGAGCATTGGATGGTTTATTTCATGGGAAATCACAATCTAAAATGGATGATTTAAGGGTACCCCTATTTTTGGAAACCTCCAAATAGCTATCTGATTCTTGGAAACTTTCAAGGGCTCGTGAAGCGCTGCAGATGACTATGGGATCCTCAAATTCTGCCACCTATTCACATCCAAGCCTCTGAAAACAGCATTTTCAATCCACTTGGCTTCTGCTAAAAAATGACGGATAGAAGTGAAGACACTGCTCAATGCAACAGTTCAAGATCAGTGTGCTCTTGACCCCCCATTCTTCAAGCAAAACGGATCCGTTTTTTCGTTCTGATGAACCAAATGAAAGTGCTATCTTGGGAGTTTTTTCAGCATTTGCAACATCATTCAAATCCAACATCCAAGACAGGAAACAGTCAAAGAAAGGGTCCTTCCAATTCCCTGTTGTACTAATTCCTGCTAGAGGGATCAATCCACTCAAACATAAACACATGGTTAAAACCCTCCGATCCGATCATATTTGCATATTGCTGGATGAAGCCTGATCTTAGCCGCATTGCTGCCTAATTCTCCATTTTGTTGGTGTCCATTCTACCATGAACGCCACAAAACTGTTGAACCTCCACAAATCCAGGCAGCGATGCTCTCCTCATCACAGCCGCCCATGACGAAGATCTGTCGCTGGGTGGTCACCGCCGCCGCCGCGCAGCGTTCACGGCTCAGGCGCGGCAACTCCTGTGGGATCACCGGGGAAGACCGGGGATGGTTGAAATATTTCGATAATTGATGTGTTGATGGTCAACATGGTCAATACGGTCAATATCTATGGAAAACAAATCCTTCATCCACTTCTTGCTGATCTCCGAATGTTTGTTGCTTCCAGTTTTGAATCCAAAGAATTGATGATTCTGGACGTTTGTGAACGGATAGTACCTTTGACAAGCCTCAATTTTAAGGGTCTTTTGGCTCCCAGAACTAATAAACAAAAATAAACACCATCAACTCAAGAATCTACGAGCTGGGAGGTGTCCTGATTTTTTTTTAAAGATCGCTCGCAAAACCTGGGGTTCAAAAGACAGATGCAAAAAACTATTTAGGTTGCTATATATTCATGTCTAAAAATCGGGTACCCACTCCATCCACTAGTTTATTTTACCTATCAAATTCCCATTTTACTGGGGGTCAATGCTCCATTTTCAGACAAACCCAGATTGAGAGAAGGCACAACACGATTCCTGTTAAAGTAGTGATAACTAGAACCTTTTCAGAATCCTTTTGGAGGTCACTACCAGGTGCTGCCCCGTAGCCATAATTGGTTTATCAACCCCATTAACTAGTTTGAGCTGACGGAATTTTTACCGTCCAGCAAAACGCATAGTTTTTTATGGGGTGGGGTGGGGTGGGATGTTAACGTTCAGTGGCACTTCCACACACACATGATGCTACGCTACTGCTCGTTCTTCTGCAACTTCCACACACACGTGATGCTACGTTGGGGTGGGGTGGGGTGGGATGTTAACGTTCATTGGCACTTCCACACACACATGATGCTACGCCACTGCTCGTTCTTCTGCAACTTCCACACGCACGTGATGCTACGTTGGGGTGGGGTAGGGTGGGGTGGGGTGGGATGTTAACGTTCATTGGCACTTCCACACACACATGATGCTACGCCACTGCTCGTTCTTCTGCAACTTCCACACACACGTCTTGCTACTTTGGGGGTGCTTGTATTGGCTAAGGATTCGGTCCCAAACAATATCCCCTCCACAAAAGGCTCCATGAAAGTGAATCGCAAAATATTTCGATATGTCAGATCGTTCCAATGGCGCTGGGAAAACCCACGCGAGTTGTTGAAGACAACTGCGGCGTACATCAAGCAACTGTCTTGATTCGACTTCGAGCCTCTTGAAGAAAAAAAACCGCTGAGGACGCGTCGATGGAAAAGTTAAACCCTCAAGTTCGGAGACCCCTTTTTTTGCATCAAAATTGACGTTTCGCTATGGCGAAACCATGAATTTGTGCTAATTATGCGGACGGTAAAAATTCCGCCGGGTAGTTTGAGATATCTACAATAAACCCTCGTTCGCCTCGGTATAAACCAACTTAGCTATTGTTTGGGGACCCTGGTCATTGACCATTCGGAGGCTATTGTAAAAATCCATATATTCTGGCTATACATCACCACTACTGTTCTGTTTCTTGGGAATATCCAAGTTACCAAGCAGCTACATATCACCAGTATTGACTATTGTGGTTATATATCAGCATTACAGCTATTTCCTAGGAATATGTATAATAATATTGTTATAGTTGTATATATTATACTATTATTTTTATTGCTATAATTACTATAATAATAAAACATAATACTAATAGTATAATAATCATATATAGCTGGATGGTTTATAATAGAAAATCCCAATCGAAACTGGATGATGTGGTGGTACCCCCATTTTAGGCATATATCAACTACTGGTTGCTTCGGTTCCAACGTGACTTGTGGACTCTCCTGCCATCTGCCCAGGCGAGGATCAAATCGCTCCGCCGAATCCAAGACATGGCGCACCTCGTGGACTGGGAGGAGATGAACCAAGGGATCAACCAATGGTACTGAAATAAGTACCATTATTATCCATATTCCATTATAGTTATATATATATATATTATAGTTAAATATGAAAAATGAGTACCATTGGATACATGAATAATAGGATATGGATCCTATGGTTATGAATAATAGGATACTACTTGTTAATGGTTATGAAAAATAGGATACATGATTAACAGGTGGACAATCACCAACGGGATTAAACCATAAAATATGGGGATGATTTCCCTGAAAAGCAGTGGCAGATTCAACCTATTGATAACAGTAACAAACATAGTATGACCATGGCCCCCATCTCTCCATCTTCTCAGTGACAACAAGGCACTGGCCACACCAGGTGGCTACCACCCATGGCATAGATGCAACCGCCACTGGCCACCACCGCCAACTCATCTCGGCCTGTGACCATGGGAGGCACCTCCTGGCGATCACCGAATCCAAGGGATCCAAGGGGGCCGCGTTTCCGCAGCCGTACAAACCGCCTGTCCTCCCAAAGCTCATCTTGGAGATTCAGCCTCGGCATCTCCGAAACGACCTTTTTCAAAAGCCACAAAAGCATGAGATTCTATTTTACTAGGCCATGATATTGTATTGCAATGGGTATATATATATATATAATAGTACATACAATATAATCCAATATAATCCCATGATGGATTCACAGTGATTCAATCTGTCGCTGAACATTTATCCGCCTCTCGACGGAGCGAAGATCTTCTCCATCAATGCCTCGTCCAACATCTGAGGATTTGGGTCTCTCTCACATACTTCCATCTCTTGATCCGTGTTGAGGGAGTACGATTTGGGAATTTACCCCAAAACTGGATGGTTTCTAGGCAGAATTAACCCAGCATTCACCGGGTTTCCCCAGATTGTTCCTGAGGCTCCGTCCGCAGCCGCCCACTGCGTAGATATACCCTCCAAGGGCTACGGCTGCACAGCCACTCCTGGTAGGTTCATTGATTCTCACTGTCATTCAATGATTATCATCATAAATATCAGTATCTCATTAGTGATGACATGCAATTCATTCTCAGTATCACCGTCATTCTCATTGTTGTTGTGATTGTCATTCATTCATTGGGTCATAAAACCCACACAGAAAATGTGGGCTGAATTGAGAGCAAGGCACCCAAAGACATGAACATTTGCGATGTTTGATGGGATTCAAATTTCAATTCTGTGAAGCTAATAGAAATGTGTTGCTTAGGGTTGCAACCACCCCAGCGAACTCAAATGATACCAATCCCATTGTGGATTCATGGCAACTGCACTGAGTTCGTGATTCATGGTCGATGTTTGTCGGGAAACGACGGAAACGACCATCCGTTCTCTTTTACACCCCCATTCACAGGTCATTCGGCCCCCCATTTCTTTTGTCCTTGGGGTATGCAGTGGTTCCAAGCGCTGCCAAGTGTTTGCTGTCAAGTCAAAGCGCTCGACCTGTGATGGATGGGCTACAAATGTACACAAGCTATATTGCCATACAATACTGGCTTTAATGGGCTTTGAACCGATACTTCTGTCTGAACATAGGCTATTTATCACCCAAATTACGTCCATTAACATCAAAACCCAGCTTCAGATTCCGGCTGATGCCAGTGCGTCGCCACAAGCCTGAGATCCAGAGCTGCACCAGAGTGCCGGGCATGGGAATGGGATAGAGATATTAATGGAACATCACCCTAAAAATGGAGGTTTATAGCGGGGGAAATCAACTACCAATGGTTCTTACCCTTGGAAAATCCAGCATTGATAGATATTGATAGTTCATTTCAGCTATAACTTCCATTTTTTTCCATTTTTATATAGGGGATTGGAAAAAGGTAGCGATCTCTCACAGACCTGTCCAGTCCAGACCTACGGCCTGACGGCCTGGCCTCTCCACCAATGGCATAAAGGCGGAAAGGATACAGAGTCGCCTCAGGAAATTTTTCCGCATTTGCAAAGTTTGCATGCGAAAAAACCATGCTTAAACTACGCCAGAAACTGTGCCAGTTGAGTGTTTGCTGATAGATTTGCTGGCAGTTGGTGGGCCTTTCGTTCCTTGTTTGCATGGTTGCTTGATGTTGCTTGGTACCGCGGGTTTCAAGTGCTTCAGCAATTGATTCAAAACAAACCGTCCAAACTCCAAGAAAGCTTCTCATGATGCATTCAGCGACAAGTCAAGCAATTAGCGCCAGGAACTGCTAATTTTTGGCAACTTTTAGTATCACCCCATCTATTTCAAGAACATCCAATGGCTTGGCGTATACCCAGCGACAGGGGAATGTCCCATCTCATCACCCAACAAGCTGCAGGTCACGACTGGGAATCCCCCATGACTTAAGAACCCTCCGGTGATGTCAAGTGGCCAAATCAGGTCCCAGTGCTGATAGCGACGCACGCATCGCTCGTGAAGCACCACCTCAGTGGTTGAGCCACTTGGAAGATATATATATATATGTTATATATATGTTATATATATGTTATATATATGTTATATATATATGTTATATATATATGTTATATATATATGTTATATATATATATGTTATATATATATATGTTTTATATATGTTTTATATATGTTATATATATATGTTATATATATATACGTATATATGTATATATATATGTAGGTATGTATGAAACCCTCAACGGGGATGGCCATCCCATTTCAAGGTGAAGGGGAAGGGATTCCGGATCAAACATGGACGGATATAAGAAGAGGGCCATTTCTCCACCCCAAAGAGATCCGATTTGAGGTCACCATCGGATGCTTCCCTCATCTTCCCCTCATCATTGGCAAGGTCTCCAGTGAGGTACCTGTAATTTATTTGGCATTTTTCAATTTTCATTCGGAACATTGTCTCTTAATGGATCTGAAATTGGGGTAATTTCGATGGCCAGCTTAGATCCTCTATGCTCAGAATATCCTTACCAGTACCATATTACCATTACATTCTCCATTACCATGGATACCATCTCAATTACCATTTCGTCAAAATTCAAAGGTGTGTCAACATCTAAGATCCTGCGGACCAGAGATCTTGGCCGCATTTACGATGAATTGGATGAATCATCATTTTTTCGGGTACCCACATGTTTTTTTTGCTGGATAGCTATCCCCAAGTGCCATCGCCCGCCGGGTGTCCCAACTCAGCTGTGCCACAGCATCCAAACCCAAACGCGCAGCCAAGTCCAAGGACAACTCCTATGCTTCATGGGTCAAGGGGGCCACATGGATTGTGGCCCCTAACAGGAAACGGTGAAATATGGTGAAATATGGTGAAGAATTTTCCGGATTCGGCAAGATGGTTCAATTCACCATCCCAGGAAGTGGATCATGATCATCACCACCAAGGATAATCCGCATATAATCAACCAAAGGCTTTCGAACACAGCTCAGATGGGAAACTCAAGTCGTAGCTGAACTTGACCTCTCATGCAACATGAATATGGATACAACATGAATATGGATACAACCATAATTCCTAAAGCTTTCTTTGAACCACTGCCTAGCAACAATAGAACTCCTCGAAACCAACATGCATGGGATGAACACTGAAGAGATTTCTATGGCTCAAACTCAAGGGCCATTCCCAAAATTGGATGTTTTTTTAAGACTCAGATTTTCCACCAACAAAAAGTATCCACCCACACGGGGTTTTGGACGAAATTCACCAACGGAAAATTATGATCCACGAACAAATAATTTGGGTTTATCATGGTTTACCAACATGGTGATATAACAATTCATGCAATAAATAATAATAATAATAATAACAATAACAATTAATAATTTAGTTTGGCGCTTACAACCCAATCACACACCACCTTCCAGTCTTCCAGTTTCTGGGGCTCAAAAACCATATGCAACATTATTAAATTCACTTAAACCCAACTAAACCACATATATATATATATGATTATATGTATGTATATATATATATGTATATATATATATTTCTATGCAAAAAAAAACATGTAGCATACATATTATAATGTGTTTATGGCTAGACATCCCCATGATTGGATCCACGTCGCCATCCTTGGATCCTTTGCGTCCCGACGTCAGGGGATGACGCCGCCGCGCTTCAGCGAAGCGCCGCCGGTGGAGCCAGGCCATGAGCCTCGGCAGCTCGTGGCTGCCCTGTGGAGCCTCGGATCTCTGTTATTAAAAAATGGATATGTTCGAAAATGATGAAAAATACTGGTTGGTGGTGGTTTTAACATGAGATTATGGTCATGGTTTTAATACTGGTTATTAATAAATGGATCTCTGGTTGGTGGTTTTAACATGTTAAAAAACAATCTTTATGATGAAAAATGATGAAAACTACTGGTTGGTGGTGCAATAATCATCTTGAAAAATGATGGAGTGAAAGTCAATGGGAAGGATGACATCCCATGTATGAAATGGAAAAAACATGTTCGAAACCACCAACCAGTTCATCATGAAAAATGATGATTTTATGATGCAAAAATGATGATGGATGGTGATTTTTCATGGTGATTGAAATGATGATTTTTTATGCAACTTGATTCCGATTTATGGCGATTTATGGTGATTTCGGACGCTTAACTGGTGAGCCCACATGATCTCCGTTCTGGGGACAAGATTGGGATTTCAGCAAAACTTAGGAATTCCACCAGAAATTCAAGCGGAAACAACATGGTTGAAGTAATACGATTATTCCCGAATGCACATATCCTGATACATGGAATGACCAAGCAAAATGGGGGTTCAAGCCATGAAATTGAAACAAAAAAGTAGGAAAAGTAGGCTTTGATCAACAACGAAGGATCTACTGACTGGTGATCTTTGGGGATGGGTCATTGACTAATGACTAAAGCGTCATGGAGAGGTGTTCGTTCTGGATCAAATCAAAGTCCAATCGCTGTTGAACTAACCCACTGGCGCCTCTCTGCGGGGACGGCGCCGTGAGCAGCCAAACACTCGCAAAGTGCCTGCGCCAATTTTTATCGGGAGGGGAGTCCACCTCAGCCTATATCAAACCATATGGGTTTGTCTGAAAATAGGGTATATTCCCAATTATAGCCATTTAATAGGGATAATGATCATTAACCATTGGGTTTAGGGGTACACCATATCAAACTGTTGAGACGACCCAGATTCTTCACACTGTTCCGTCGAACACTCGGCGGCCTCATGCTCCTCTTGCAGCATGCCTAAGCGCTTGAACAGCAGCTTGAGCTGCCCTTGCCTTGGGGCCGTCACCAGGACGCTTTCATTCAACGTTGGGCAATGGACCAATGGATGTGTGAGCTCCTTTGTGTTGGTTACGGAGGTTCACAGTGACACACTTTGAACATCTTTGAAACGGTAGTTTCCGATTGAAGCTGCATGCATCTTTAGTCATAAATCCTTTGATCTATAGAATCTATGGGGCATCAAATTCATGAGTTCCAAGCAAACCAAGCATCATGGGTTGGCCGTTTCCCTTCATCCTGGGTTGCCCCACGTGGTCTGCAGGGCCTGCAATACCTGAGGATGTGACGGTATCTGAAAGTTTGAGGAACATGAATCTGGCTGATTTCTATTAAAGTAGGAGACTTTTGCCTGCCTTTTTTGAGGTTTAACACACCTAAAATGTGTATAGTAAATGAGCCCAGCGGCTATTTTGGCCCATCAAATCGGCCGGCGAGTATGTGAGTAATTCTCAACTATAAGACTGGTATCATCGATTCAATTGAAAACGAGAGGAACAAAAAAGGTTTTTACCATTGAATCTACGGGGAAGAGTGCGTGGGACTGACTATAAAACCGTTGAGTCCAAGTTGGGTTCAACGGTGAATTTTACCTTCCTCCAAGTCTGGGAAACAAGTGATGGATTTCTACCCGGCAGCCAAATAGCTAGTTGATGAAACACAACTTTATTTCTAGGAAGCCCAAAATCACTTTGTGTGGTAAACAAAAAAATGCCCAAAAAAAAGCCCAACTGTGAAAAGCGGTATGCTTGTCCAGTCAAGAAAAATTGGAGGTTCCTTGAACTGTTCTCACCATTCCGGGGGACATCTAGTTTTGCAATAATCTGGTGGAATGGGATTTTATTCATTTTGAGATCCACATGGCGATATCGCAGGGAATCGCCTTTATCTATCTGTCTATCCAGCCATCTATCATCGCCAGTATGATTGATGGCCCCTACCCTCTGGTAAACATACAAAAAGCTATTGCAGATGGCCATAGAAATAGTTGATCTACCATTAAAGATTGTGATTTTCCATAGTTATGCTAGTTTACCAGAGGGTAAACTATAACTACTTCAAAGGTTAGGATTCGGGGACTCATCTGAAACATTTCAGGTTGGTGAACTACTTTTCTCTATCCAGCTGAATACATAAGTATCTAATATCCGCGGTTTTAAAACCACATTGACCAACCAGTCCATTGCAGTCCCCAAAAGGGGACCGCGACCGCCTGCGACATCGGCTCTGCCTTCCATCCGGAAGGGGCATAGCTACCTGCCAGATTGGTCACGTTACATCAGATGGTAGGCAATGTACAGATGGTTTATAAATATATATATATATATGTATGGACAAACACAGAATGTGTGGATAATGTAACATTTAAATATATAGATCATGTATAATGATAAATAAGGATCAATACGATGATATCGATTACACAGATACCTTATGGGGTCATCCGTGATTGCTGCACGTCTCCCAATGCATTGAACAACAAAACATGGTCTCCATGTTGGGGTTGGAGAGAGAGGATCACAAGGACTATCAGAATCCCTTTGGGTCTCTCCCAAAATTGGGAAATGATCATGTCTCGATGCCGAAACAGTGAATTTTGGGGTTTTACCGAGTTTTACCCCAAATTTCCAGGCAAAGCCAGGACCTTCCAATCCCGCTGTTGGTATTGCTGGCTCCAATTCTTCGTTGCCTGACAGTGAAGCCCAGGGCTGCATGGCGTTGGCGTTGGCGTTGGCGGTGACCTGGGAAGTCCTTCCAACTGTTCAACTTGTCCTTTTGGAATATCATGAAACATGATGAAAGATCATGAAACATGGACATGTCATGACATATCCGGTGGAATTCTTCAAAATTCTTCAAATATTTCAATCATGTGACAACAAGTTGGAGTCTCAGGATTTCAGCTCTTTGTTTGATCGGATTTGAAAATGCTGCAGAATGCACAAGCCCATGGCTTTTGGCTCTCCGGCACGTTGGAGACTGGCTATGGGGCAGGTGCGAACCTATCAAAAATGCAAGGAATTGAGTTTGACGAAGATATTCCGGACAATCAGTGTGATGCTCTTTCTGTTGGAATTGTTTCAATTCTTACAAGAACATCCTTCCCAAACCTCTACAGAATGACCCAAAATCACTTGAACCACTGGAGTTCTGGTGCAATTCCTTCAACTTCCACAGTTTTCACCAGGGCCCCCTGGATTTCCAACCACGGTCGCCGTGAATTTTTTGGTCCCTTCGTTGCTTGCAGCCGCCGGCGTGCACCAAGCGCAAGGGCTGTCGCATGGTGGCTTTCATCGCAGACCACCTAAAGCCGTTGCTCGCTGTGTCATGTGGGAAACCCAATAAGCCTACCATTGAAAGGGGATGATATTTACCATATTTACCATAAACAAATGGTGATTTTTGGGATGGTTGATGGCATTGGGTTTACCACATGAAGGTCAAGAACAAGTGAAACCAATCTGTACCGAAAGATAAGTGGCAAAAAAAACGCTTTGTCAATCCTTCCGGTCATGACTAAACTCACTGATCATACTGATCAGGAAGAACGTACATACAATTGAATACCGTTTAAATCAACAACCTTCCAATTCTCCATGGCATTTTGCAAAAATTCGCTTTCGTTCTGCTAAGGACACTAACCTGCGATTAATGACTCCTTGTTATGTTCCGTTCCGTCTGGGTCTCAAAAAGAATGTACACAAAATAACATGCAGGCCATTTATCACTGATCCATCTCCACATCCCAAGATATCCCAATAATTTTGTTGCACCGTTTCTCGGGCATCTCAGCCCTGAACTGCCGGCGTCCAAAGACATCTTCCCAGGGCAGTCGCGATCCCTGAGGGCGGCACCATGGGGGTCCTGCTCGTAGATACAGGGTTCATCGTGGGGATCCCTATTTCTAGTTATGTTGTAAACAGGTGTATGTGTATATGTCTATGTGTATATGCATTTGTATGTATGGCAATGTAATGTAATGTGATGGAATGGAATGGCATGGAATGCAACGTACATATGTGCAATGTAATGTACATATGTACATATGTATATATATATATACGTATAAATGTCCAAATGTATATATGTACACATTTATTTAGTACCATGCTTTTTGGTATTTTCAGTTCAGGGCCCGCACCGCAGCTTGGGGGCCACCATATCCACCTGGCAACGATTGGTGGAGGCTGGATCCAAAAAATGGGGCTTCACCTCAGCTTATGGCCACAAAACACATGGAACATATTGGAACATGATAATCCATCTTGAAATGTTCAAACTTTTCCCACCATTTTTCACCAACTGCCTCCTTTCCCTGGCAACGAGTGGAACCTGACTCCAAAGGTTTCACCAAGAAGAGCAACGCCTGATGGCTGTAAGACTTGGAATTTTACTCCCAGAAACTCTCAGATTTTTTTTTTGGTCAAAAAGAACCACCAACAAATTTGAAACATTCAGGTCTTTGTGCTTAAAAGATAGTAGGGAGAAATAGGAGGGATTACCAAGAAAAAAAAGGACAAGTCAATCCCTCCTATTTTGAACATCTGATTAACTTTCCTATCTGGCGAACACCTGCACCCAGTAAATTAACAATGTACTGAAACCCACATTTCTGGCCAGAAAGCCAAGTGCGCAAAAGTATCTTCCCAACCAACTCTTCAGCAACCTTTCAAAAATTGGAAACATCTCTCCCTATATTCATAGTCAATCTTGGGTAGTTCACAACAAATTAATCTTTTGCTCATGGTTATTTTCCATAGCTACCCAGCTGGTTGGGCCGTTGGGGATGCATTGGATTGAGCAGCCTGGCTGCTCAGCCTCCATATGCCCCAGCAAGACTTTGCGCTGACAGACCACCCGCCAGCTCTCAGCCATAGCCTGGCGTGGCAAATACGGGGTCCAAATGGACCAACCATCAATAGAAGCCAATCTTCTCAAACAAAGAATCAATCTAAATAGATCCTTGATTCGACAAAAGCCATCTTCCTACATTTGTACATGTGTATCCCTCTCTCTCTATCTAATCTAATCTATTCTATTCTATCCTATCCTATCCTATCCTATCTATCCTGTCCTATCCTATCCTATCCTATCCTATCCTATCCATCCATCTATCTATATGTATATACATATATGTATATGTGTGTATATGTGCATATGTGCATATGTGTATATGTGTACATGTATACATGTATATATGTATATATGTATACATGTAGTCATATGTATATGTATATATGTAATTATATGTATATGTATATGTATATGTACATGTACATACACATATTGATACATATTTACCGGGCATATGAAGCAAAGGAACCAATCAAAGATGGATTGTCCTCTGGCCTTTTTTTCGATGATGAAAGGCCCTAATGTAGGAATGGGAGAATGCGACTTTATATCATTCATTTGTGTAAATTGATGACTTGAATTACAGATTGACAGATGTAGAATGTATAGAATGTATACAGACCTAGAAACCAAATGACTTTTTTGTCGGCAAGGTGACCCTCTTTAAATGATCCAGTTGGTAGCACCTCCATCAAGGTCTTGGCATTGGCCTTGCGGTTAGACAGGCATCAAGAGGCTATTTCACTGATTTCACTGATTTCACCAAGAATTTTGAGGATTTCATCAGCAATTCTATTTGTTGATTTTATCAATGAATATGGAAAGATAGCAAGACAACTATTGGGGATCAACCTCACATGATGATGTGGCTATGTGTCAACACATCCACTTTGGGACACCGACTTTGTGGAGTATGGATACGATGATTTTGCATGGCCAATCTCAGATACTTAGCTAATCTTAGCTAGTTAACATCCTGACATCCCCATTTACAGCAAGACATCTGCCGTTTTAAACTAGCCATCCTGCTGGTTACCCCAATGGATGGTGAATTCCTCATAGTTTGCTGATGGGCTCCCATCGCCTGGTTGGTGAGCAACACTGCTCGTCCAGTTCTCCTTAAGACCTCGCTGTGGGTCAATGGAAAATCCTATTGGTTGATCGACTTTTTAAGGATTCCCATTGATCATTGGTTGAGCAACTTTTTTTTTTGGGGTGATTTTCCTAGTGGAAAAAATTGAATTGGAATCTCTGAAAAACCGATTCGACAGACTTCGGGAACTGAAACATCATGGCCTAGGGCTAAAATATCAGCCTAAAATAAAAGAGTCTTATGAAACAAAAAAACATGTTGTGGGGTGCACCTACCATGAATCATGGGATTGGTGAGAAAATCGGAAAACCCGACATTTTCTGGGCCCCCCCGACTCTTCGGAACTCCAGAAGCACCGCTGGATACAGGGCGAGGTTGTCTGGGCGGTGGCAGGATGGGATAACAAGAGAACAAATGGGTATATTGGGTCTATTGGAGATACCAAATTTTCTTTCCTTTTGGCTGATATACCAGCAAAGACTGAATGATCACATGGGGGTTTTCAAACAATACCATCTCCAAACTGAAGAGAAACATCCCCACAATTCCAGGATCAAAATTATGATAAGATAAACTTCAGCATCCAATTTAATTATAGGATATTATAGGGGTATCTAATGACTTAACCAACTTAACCCCATCTGAGTTTGCGACCCTCCTCACTGCCATACCTGCACGGCGTCCCATGTAGCTGCATAACACATTGAACTGATCAAGCGGGACTATAAAACGACCACGGATAGAGTTCATCCAAGATCTAACTTTTCAAAAATACATCCTAATCAGGTCCTAATCCTTCATTCAGTCTGACATTTGACTTTCTTAAGAGGCCACATTGAATCACGTCGGAGACCCGAAGCTGTACTGACTTCCGTGACCTAAGGAGGACACTGTTTGCCGAAGGGCAAGTCACAGAGAATCGCATCCACTGAGGAGGTTTCCAGCCTCGGTGCTTCCACAGGGCGGAGTTTGAGGATTCCCGGGGGATCACAAAACAACCTCTCCGATGGCGCCAAGTCACGGCAAAGCTCGGGCGTCACCACGAGCAAAGCTCAAACTTTGAGCCTTGGGTCGGCGTCATTTGAAGGACTTTGATAAGGAAAAGGTGGTGCGTATTGCATGAGCTCTTCCATGGGAGGTGAAGAATGAGGTGTGGATTTGTGGATGAGTATTTGTATGAATGCAGATGCATATACATATGACCGAAAACATCGTGCAGTGAAACATCATCATGGCTGTGCATGATATGTATCATACCCCCTTTTGACTGCCACAAAAAGAAGCAATTTCATAGTGTCAGACACAAAAACACGACTAGGCCTCTTGATTGAACAGTTCCTAGCATGTCTTCGTTTTGAATGTGCAGTGATATTATACCATCTGGTTATTTAACATTTATTTAACATAGCCATGGAAAATCCCTCACAAATGGAGGTTTCAATGGGAAAATCATCTATTTCTATGGGCCATCTATACCATGGCTATGTTAAATAACCAGAGGGTATATATTGTATATTACTCTCAAATCACCTGTGAATAACCATGACGGCCAGCCGGAGATCGTCCGCCAACTCCGGCTGATTCCCCCGGAAAAGGGGGCTCGGACCACATCCGCGGCTAAGAGCTTCAAGTTGCTGGTGGAGCGCTCCTGGTGCAAAAATCATGGGATAAGGGGAGTACCCGACATGGTAAACATACAAAAAACTATGGAAAATCACCATTTTCAATGGGAAAACTCACTATTTTGATGGCCATTTTCAATAGCTATGTTAAATTGCCAGAGGGTATAACCCACAACAAACAAGTTTTTCTGGGGATTTCTGTGAACAGGCCCGGTTCATCAATCACACGAATTCACCTTTTTGCAGAACTCTGCACAAATGGTCTCGCCAAAGGGCAGGTTCAACAACAACTGGAGATGGTTTTCCTCTTCGAATTCTCAAAAAACCCACCAATATCAACGAATTCTACCCTTGTGGTGGTAAGACGATTTGACCCAAAACAGCCAAAACTCAATAGCTCCCTATACAATATGGAGGTTTTCAATCCATGGGGTACCCAAAATCATCCAGTCATGAACCACCATGACTTAGTGACACCATGGTGACTGCATATCCTCTATAGAATTGGAAAGCCCATGGGTTTTGACGGTAAAATCCATGGCTTTTCCTCTAGATTTCCCAACCGATCCATGGCGGTGTCCAGCTGCTGTCTGTCTTGGTCGAAGCCCAGATAGTAGGCACCTTGCCAGCACTGTGCCGCCTGCGTCACGGTGCCCTGGTGGTTGTTGATCCCCCTGCAAAACACACACATATAGATGTATATATACACTGTATATGTATATATATATATGTATAATGTGTATATATATATATATGTATATAGTATATATATATACACTGTGCTTTTAGTGGGATACATTGTAAAGCTCCAGAATCCCCAAGTCATCGTGAGTAGAACCAACTAAATAAGTGTGGAGAAGCATCACTACTTAACATCTCTTCGCGTGCACGGTGTACACATCTGCACCTCGAAGAGCACGATGCCGGAGCCGCACATCCTTGGTAATTAAATGCGACGAAGATAGATCATAAATATATGAATATGTACATATAAATATATATAAATAGTATGTACTAACTATATAACATATGTATGTATGATAGAATGATGGATTTGATTTCTCTTGGAAAGCATCCAAACATCTTTTGATTCTTGGCGATTCTCACCACTAACTGGTTTCAAGAATGGACGTGCCGTGAAAGGTGGGACCTGCAGTGGGTTAAAGGGAAACCTTCAGTTTTCCGGACATGCCACGCACTTTTCGAAGAGCCAAATTTTGCTTTTGACTGATCGGCAAATATGGCGCAACTTGAGTATCCCCATCATTCTTAGATGAACAACAAAGGTAGTAGCTGGTTGGTAAATCTCCTATCACTCATTCTCAAAGACACATGAAACACCCATGAAACAGGACATCACTGGGACATCTCCAAAGAACCCCCCTGAGTCTTACCCAAGTTTCCATCATCCTCAATTTTGCAGACCCAGTAATTTGAAGAACATGATGTTACAACTATGACAACTACTCATGCAACAGGGTCCAACTGTGAATCTCTGCGTCTGTGGTAAACCCGATAACAAAACATTGCCCCTTTACCCCGTGACTATTGGGAAAGCATCGAACAGCATTCCCACACACGGAGAACCATACCGCACTGTCAACCATTGGGGGATCATTTTACAGGAACTCAACAAGGGACATAGCCAATTGATCTTAGTTCTGGATGTCTTATGGAGTTGGGGTTACCACATGAATGCAAAGCCTGGATTAATAAGCCCTGATACTTTTCTAATTGAATGGTACTGCCCAATTAAACATGATATTGTGACGCCGGTTGGATTGTTATAGGTGCTGATAGCCATGCCCAATAGGAAGTTTATTTATTACCACATTACAAATTAACGTTGATGGCCCATACCATCTGTAAAATCGAGGATGACTATTGCTTTGCTAACATTAGTGATTTAACCACCCCAAAAAAAAGCCATATAAAATGGACTGAAGTTGAGGATGGTTTGACTACCCATGATTTCAATGGTTTACTATTGCTTTGCTCACATTACACGACTTTCCTGGATCCGTCCTCAACTTGCTTTGAGATGCGGATCGATCACCACTTCGCCACACAGCGGCTCGACCGTCCTGACGAGAACATGTCAAGCACAACTGGGATTTATGCCATGAAAAAGGGGAGTTGAACATCTTCAAAATGGGATCATCTAACTGTTCATTTGACTCAATTTGACCATGCAATGCATTATTTCATGCAGACAATTGAAGTTTCTACCATGGCTGACCTTAGATGTTCCTCAAAGATCCATGAAATCGCCAAAAGTCAAGCCATTTAGCTACCAAAACCAGGAAAGGAATAGGGACCACCTCAAGTAGCATGAAATATGTTAGACCAACAAGCATTCTGCACTTTTCAAAAACATCCACGCTAAACTGAACTTCCAGCCAAGCATGCACTTTGCTACAGCACAAAGGTAATCTTTTAAGATATCTTGATCTCTTCTCATGGCTAGATTACATGACATGCTACTTTCCATTAAGTGGATCTATTCTATCAATTTCCCCATTCATTGTCTCAACAGCTGATGGCAAACACCCATATCTGATGCTTCATTTCGCATATAATTCCCAACAATTCTATCCCATTATGATTATTGTACTGGTTGGTAAATAGGTATCCGGATTATGCCCGGAGAAACGAGGTAGGTTGATGCCCCCTTTAACAATCTAATCAACAATATCTATCAATATATAATTTCTGGAGCCTATTCGCATTTTTCGTGCAAAATATGTTTCAACTATTGAACCCATCAACCATGATCTCTGGGTTATATCAACATACAACATTATATATATTATATCATCATTTTTGGTCAAAAACGATGTACATGGTTGAGCCTCCATACCATCAACCATGGTATGAACGTGTGCGCCTTGCCATGGCCCAGGCTACAGGCTGCGACAGCCCGGGGAGGGCAAATTGGGCCTGCCATGGCGCCTTTTCTTTCTCGGAACAGCATGGAGAACGCCACAATTAGTGATTTTAGTTGGGCCTCAGATATTCAATCTACTGGTTAATCGGCATATTCTCTAAGACTCTGGTTACACTTGGGGGTCAATCCACCATTTCACACCCAATAGATCCAACCCTATCAGCCCCCATTAAACCCTACAAACCCCAGAGATTATGGCTATATCTCTTCATTAATCCCCATCTGTTGAAACTTCAAACATGTGGCCTGCTGACCGCTGCGCTCCAGCAAAGGCAATCCAACCTGGGTCAAACATGGAAAAATGCCCCAGTTTTAATGGAAAAATCATCGAATCGGACGATTTTCCAGCCATGTGAGCACCACTGGGGTGAGAATCCCATTGATCAATGGCCTCAGCATGGCTATCGCAGTCGCGGCACGATAAGGTGGTCGTCATTCAAGTGAACCACAACCTGGCCGATGTTGGGATTGGTCGAAAACCAACCAGTTCCGGAAAATGGGTAGATGAATGAACATTTGTAAAAAAAACCGGATTGTTCTGACTGTTCTGTTCAATTTCGAGATTGTCACGCGGAGTTGCAGCAATTTGTCAATAGCAGGGGACGCTTGCCGTCAAAGCAGCTGCCTATTGCTCTTGCTTTGCCAGTAGCAAGCTACCGGAACAATGCGGAACCAAATACGTTATCTCTACTGCTTGATGAATGGAGCTTTCCATAAGAAATCAGCATGATACATATCACAGGAAGTAGTAAAACATCCAACCATCATCACTTCTAGGCAGAACCCTTTTTTTGGCAGGGCAAGAAACTTCATTTTTCTTAAACATCGCAATTTTTGATCGCAACGGGTAGACCCCCCCAACACCATCATTCCAACGGGCCGGGTCCGACCTCCAAGTCGTAGTCGTGCAAATCCACTTGCCAATCCATGGCTTCTGCCAGGGCCTGAGACAGCTGCTGCGCATGTGATTGTGGCCTTCGTCCATTGGGGGGCCATCGACAGCAAAAAAACGCACCTCACCCACGAACTCGGCAATGCCATTGGAACCTCAGGCGGGTGATTTTAGTAGACTCCCACCGGTCGAAACAGAATGGTTCATGATGGATTCATCACGACGGTCATAAGACATATAATAATATTATAGTTGATGAATGTTGATGATAGTTGCATCCACCGCATCCGGAATTTTCAGAATCGGTGTCGCAACATGGCCGATTTTGGTCACCATGAAATTCGTGGATCATATTACTCCCCCAAAATGAATAGATCCAGTTTATTAAACGGGAGTTTCTATGGGCCTATTTCACAAAAGGGTGCCATTAAGGTTCAGTCTTGGTTACTATCAACCAAGAATCATCCATTGGCCACGGATTCCACATTTATGTTAGTTTTACCGGGAAACCAGTACCTGGCAAACCTACAAAAAACGAACTGGAAAATCACCATCGTAAATAGCTAAATCATCTATAAATGGTCCATTTTCCAGTTCGCTGCCAGTTCGCTATGTTCGATGACTTTCCCACCATCCCCGGTTGCCATGGCCATGGCACTCAGATGCGCCGCCCGCCGGCCGGCGCGCTTGGCGGTGACGCGGAAGGTGGATGGAGGCATCTGACAGCGGTCGGGGCTCACTTAGTCACTGGATGTCACTGGTGTTGTGTGAGGTTACAATGGTTACGACCAACTAATTGGGACACCCGGAGAATTGGGGACTGAATAACCAGGCTTACGAAATCTTACGAAGCATTTGCGACGCCTGAGAACATCATATTTTTCTTTTCGCCCGTATTCTTCCCACCAAAGTGGGATGCTCCCACTATGAAACTGCAAAAGGAGGTTGTTCCTGTCTGCATGGGAATCCGCCCTGAAGAATCACCTACTTGTTCCAGGCGGTTTTGGGGCGGTTTTGGGGTTCCCAGCACAAGCCAACCTTGTTAAGTGACACGCAAAAATCAACGAAACAATTTTGCCGTGGTGCTGCAGCCTAAGTGGCTGACCACCGTAGCCTACTGCTCAGCTTTAGAGCTTGAACCCCTCACCCACTGCCTTCTCCGAAGCCTTATAGAATGCTTTGCCGACGCTGGCATCATACGCCATGGCGTTGCCGTTCTTTTGTCTTGATGGGATACTTAGTGCGCGTCTCGTGGGGACCATAGCAGGCTCCTCCTTCGCACTGAATGTGCGCCACAGCCATGACCAGCGGCACCTTCTCACCAAGGCCTACCGTCTCCAGGCGATGTGACCATAGCGAGCCCAACCGGTGGAACCCAAATGGTGCCACAGCAACAAACCATGCGCTGCAGGTTGTCCAGGTCATTGGTGTCGTGGGGCCGCCCTTCTCGGACGCACCGGAGGAGACCTGGGTGATGGTCACGTCGCCACAACCGTGCCGTCAGGATCTGAACATCCAAACCCATAACGCCGGCTGGCCCTTTGACCTCGGTGATCCCATGGCGGCGTTGGGCGCAGAGTTTTGTGGTATGCGATGGCCGAAATGGCTACGGAAAACCTAAGAAACCTCTCATTCGACAAGCAAAACACAGATCATAAAACTATATAAAACTTATAAAAATCATCATTTCACCCCATATTTTTGTGCCCATTTTTGTTGGTTGAACCCCCAACTTCGCCCTTGGGTCACAGCCTGGCGCCCGAAGCTGCGACACGTCTCCAAGGCCCTCGACCAGCCGAAACTGGCGGCCACGCGCTGGGCTAGGAAGGCCTCGGAGGCCTGGCAGAAGTCAGTTGGGAAGTGGTTCAGATGTCGTTTTAGTACACATAAATCAATAAATAAACATATATATAATATAAATAAAATGCAACAATGATATTGATAGTTAATATACAAATAGTTATACCAAAAAATAATATACCAATAATTAATAATTTCGAGTTAATTATAGTGCAACTTACTAATAATCAATTATAGTTGATATACGCACGTTTAATACACATATAAATTGTTGTACTATGTATGACTATGGATGATCAACACTGGCATTTTAAATTGGAGAATATGGGAGAATACGGGAAGCTAATGATATGAACCCAATAATTTACAGATATGTATGGGTGTTTTTGCTGATAAGAGTTTATTTACAGAATCCATAAGTATTTATAGAAAAAGATAATTAAAAATTTTCATTTATAGGCATATTTTGGGTAATGTGGCACAAGTAATGTGGGAAACCCAATGCCATAAACCTACCATTTGGGGATGGTTTACCACAGTTCCCATAAGTTGGGATATAGTTGATAGTCCATAGCAATACATGATATAATCCAGGTGTATATATCAACCTCCCCAAATATGTATGTATATATACTCAGTGGATCTCAGTGGTGGTTTGAAAGTGGCTAATGATCATAGTGAAGCCAGGTATGTATCTATCTACCTATCTAATATGGAAATATCCCCAATTATCTAGATGGATTGTGAACCACATACTAACAAACAAACTGGCTCTGGGTCTGGATCAGTATCTGTGGTCCACCGGTCGACCCAAATTTCTTGGGGTTTCATTTAGAACCAGACCCATCTAGAGTGAGCCATCAAAAACTGTTTCGAATCAGAACAAAACTCCTGAAGCAAAACGACTTCTCAGTTTTCAAATATCAGACACGAAGCGCCAAAAAAAATGTATATATATATATATGAAAGTGGAAAACACACACTACTGAACCGCATTAAACCCTACACCTCCAATATATGATGGCTATAGAACCCGATCAAAACCACATTAACTCCCATTAAAAACTTCCTTAAATCCTATCAAAACCCCATCAACCCCTAAAAATCACATATCTCATGGCTGAATCAGCATTGAATGCCATTAAAACCCAATAAACACAAAAAAAACCAATGAATTCCCATATGATCAGTGCAACAAAACCTTGTGTTGTTCCTTTATACTGGTTGGTTGATAGGGTTTCCCCTGGATTGTGATCATCCCCCTTATATCGGTTAGTATAGCCTCCAACCTAATCAGCCAAGCGGGATAGATCGCAGCTGATCCTATTCCCATGTAAAGCCTCAATTTCCTATATTTCACTATGGCCATAGCATTGAATCCCATTAAGCACTATCAAACCTATATTTCCACACTATGAAACACGATTAACCACGTTTAAACACTATTCAACCCCCCATAGAATAATCCCGCGCCTCTTGTTCCGCGGGCCACGACAAGTCCTCGGCATTCACGCACAGGACCAAGGCATAGAGCTTCTCGGGGGATCTCAACCTGCCGGGGTGGTGCCCCAGTTCGGAATCGCTAAGTTGGTGCAAATAAGTCCAATAACTATGGTTTTTAGGTGATATATCTATAGTTAATGGGATTATACTGGGAACTATAATGGTAATTGTACTAGTGATTATAGTCACTAGTATAGTCACTATTATAATGGGAATTTACTATCATAAAGTGATTATGGTGATAGGAGCTATAATCGGAACTACAATAGGAACTACAATGATAATTATAATAGTGATGTTAATTTACTGGAGGGCAATAGAAACTATACTAGTGACTATACTATCACTAATGGGATTACAATAGTGATTATAATACAGTAGTGAGTATGATAATGATAATGATAGTTAGTATAGGGACTATACTAATAGTAGTCCCAGTATAATAGGGATTAGTATAGGGACTATAGTGATCATAACTATAGAGCAGGGATTGTTTTAGGGGCTGTAGTAGCTATAATGGTAGGATTATAATGTTTTTAGAACAGCAATAGTAAACCATACCCAATCGTTAATATTTGCTGCAATAGTGAGTAAAACAGGGATCAATATTGGCATATATAGTAGTGATATGTAGTAATCATAATTAATAGCGATTGACAATGACCACATAGTAAAGCAATGGTAAACCGCCCCCCAATTTTACCATCGGCGGGTGGTATAAACCATCAAAGCGTGGGCGGTTTATTACTGCTTTACTAACATTAATTAATGGGACTGCAATGGCTATAATAGCAGGATTATCAAAGGACTACAAGAATAATTGACGGGACAAAAACAAATTGGGCTACAGTATACTTGGATTATAATGGTTTTACTGGCTATGATAGCTAGTCAAACAATGGGGGAGTGGCCTGGTCCTTTCTACGCACATCTCAGGTATTTTATCAAAGAAATAAGATATTCCCAATGGCCTAGGTGGGAAGTCTTTAAAGTTTAGGCTGGAAATCCGCAATTTTCTGGATACAATATGTGGAAACAGTGTCAAGTTTGATTAGTGGAGGGTTGAACCAATCAAATGGGAGATATTGGTGGAAATCCGATGGACACTGGGAGTGGAAAGGGTTCTCTGATCATCCAGTCTGTAATAAATCTCTGCAGAAAACAGAAAAGAACACAGCCAATCAACTGACACCATTTCTGTGCTTCATCCTGTTTTTTGCGAGAATTTCTCAATATTGGTTGGTATTTATCCCTGTCTTCAAGGGTGAAACAGTGCCATCAACCGCCAGCATGGGAGTTTTGGCCACTGTTGCCCACTTCATCCCACTTCTATGCAAAGCATCTGGCTGATCTGAAGAACACCAAATGAAATGGGCACCTGGACCACTACCAAATTTGTTGAACCACTATTTTTCCCAAGATCAGACTTTTGGAAAATCCAGGTATGATCTGAAGAACCCATCATTTGTGGACCATTTTCCGAAGGGAAGCTTTTCCACATAAAAGGTTAGTTTAACCAACGGAAATCCCCATGTTTTTCCCAGGTATAAACCTCCATTGATCGGGGACTTCCTATGTTTTCCGATGATTTTCGTATGATTTCCCTATGATTTCCTATAGTTTTAGCCACGTTTGATTCGATGCGGTCGCCCAGTTGGCGTGCCTAAAGAATCGCTCCACGGGTTCGACGTCAGCTGAAAAGTAGAAGCGCGCCTGCAGCCAAAAGAAGCGGTCCCAGAATCTTACAGCCATGGGGCCATATATATATATGTATATATATATGTATATATATATGTATATACATATGTATATATATATGCATATATATATATGTATATATGCACAAAAGTATTGACCCCCAAACCAAGTCAGCAGCAGCGGACCTTTTGTCTTGAGCCAAAATAGTTACCGTATGCAACATGCTAAGACTATGCACAACTGCAGATACAAACACCCCTCCTAAGCTAGTTGGGTTTACCAACGACGCTTCCTCTCAGGTGTTAGTCTTAGCAGCAACCGACACACCTTCCCGAACGTTTTGTCCGAGGGTTGTCAGGTGTCGCTGACAGACTTCTTGTCCCACAGGCTTCGTGCATAGGTCCGCAAGGTTGTCGTTTGTGTGGACCTTGCGGAGTTCGATCTCACGTTGATGCAGCTGTTGCTGCACCCACAAGTACCTTGTCTGAATGTGGCGCGTCTTGCCACTCAATCCTCGTCGATTGCACATTCCACGTGCTGCCGAGGAGTCTGAGAACACCGTGCAGGTCAGTGGTATTCTCCATTCATTGTAGAGAGCACGCATCCCCAGCACGCACGCTGACGCCTTGACGATGGCGTAGAACTCGCTCTCGCCACTGCTCAATGCAATGGTGCTCTGAGCAGTGCTACTAGCTTTCAGGCAATGGCCTCCCGCCATCACCACCAACCCGGACGTGCTTTTGCGGGTAAAAAGGCACCCCGCATGGTCGCTGTCCGTGTAGACCGCCAAGGTGTTGTACATCTCTTGAGGCTTGAAGGTCTGCACCACTCTTGGTGCTCCTTTCAGATACCTTCCCAACCTCTTCAGTTTCGACCAACTGTGCTCAGTTGGCTTGGCCATGAAACGCGCCAGCGTTTTCACACTTTCACAGATGTCAGCTCGATCCTGTGACAAGTACGCGCATCGCATCACAATCGATCTGTAGGCACTTTGTTGCTCTGGTGGCAGCACTGGCAAGTCCAATGCCCCCAGCACCTCTTTCGAGGTCATCTTCTCCGCCGGTGTAGACACCGGCTTGGAGTTTTCCAAACCCAGCTGCTTGACCACTTGCGCACAATGGCGCGGGTCAGGCTCATACTGCAGCTCGCCGGTCTGCTTGTTGTATTCCAGGATTCTGTTGAGCACTGTCATCACAGACCCATCGTTGGGATCTGGACCGATACACCCATCCACACGATACTCGAATCGCTTGGCAAGAACTCCTTCGATGAACTTCTGGCCCTCGTCATCAGCCAGAACCACGAAGTCGTCCCCGTGGCATAGGAACCTGGAATCGGTGGGTTCGTGGTAGAACAACGCGGGCCATGCCACGCCCGCTTCCACTCCATGCTCCTTGAGCAATTCCGTGTATGTTTCCTGCCACACGCTCGAAGCGTCTTGTGTTCCATACATGGTTCTGAGAAGCCTTGCACACTTCCCTTCCTTTTCTCTCCCAGGAGGGAGATTGGTGAACACTGGACGGCGCGAAGCACCGTAGAAATGCGCCCGAGATATGTCCAGGATGCGCATCTTGAGTGCCCCTCCTCGAGCACTGCGCTTCTTGGATACCATCAGGCTGCAAAGCACCTTCAGTGCCTCCAGCGGTGGCATTGCACTGTACAGATCATGATCTGGAAGTGCCTGCCCTTTTCGCTTGATCTCGTGCACCACCAGACGCGACCTGTAGTTGCTATTGCCTTTGTCTCTGTCCACCCACTTCAGGGTGATGGGTGGTGCTCCTGTGGCATCCCAACACTCTTGGATGTCTGCCACTTCGTAGATCTTCTGTTTCTCCACCCAGCCTAGCTCCTCTTCACGGGCCTTCTTGACCTTCTGAGGATCTAGCTGCATTCCGGTGACACTGTCGTAGATCTCCTCTTGGCTGTCGTCGTGATAGTCCCACATCTCTTCAGTGGGCTCGTTGCTTGCACCATCCGGACATGGTCCGGCCACCAGCTCGTTCAGAGCGGACAGCTCTCCCATGTCACGAAGTTCTTGTCTTATTCCCTTCAGGATTGCATTCACCAACCGAGGGGGATAAACTTGAGCATGTCTTGCCCTGCCGTTTATCAAGTGGACGTGGCGATGAGTTCCATCGCAGTTCCCTTCGATTGCTTCAGCCAGCCTCTTGGAGTTGGTCATCCAATTGGTCTCTTTCCTGATGAAGCCGACGCCTTGACCGTCCTCCGCTTTCATGTGCCATTTGCACATTGGTGCCGTCACGGTGTAGACGCCAGGTAATTCTTGGATCCTCTTGATGTCCTCCTCTTGCCAGCTCTGGCTTGGCTTCGGATGTTCGTGAAGGAAGAACCTTCCGCTTTGATGCTGCTCCATATAAGCATCGGTTGCGACCTTCAGATGCTTCCGCCCTTCGGCCAAAATGGCCTGGTTTTCTTCCTCTGATCTCTTGTTCTTGCTCAGATTCTGCAGCGGACTGAACGGTCCGCAGGGAGGTGAGCCGATGAGAACCAGTGGCTTCTCATCCCTGAGCAACCTCCTCAGGACTTTCTGGTCTTGCTCAGTTGACAAGTCCCAGTACTCACCCTTGTCGTTCTTGGTCAACGACAGGTCAATGGCAAACCCGGGCCTTAGGCCGAACGCGTTTGCTCGTGAAACAAACCGCTCTGGATTGTAGATCTCTGCCACATCGCTTTTGCGGATTCCCATCGAGCATAGCAGCTGCCCGATCTCGAGGATTTCCTTCTTGGACTCCAGTCCTGGAAACATGTTTGCTTCCAGCAATGCCGAGATGTCCTCGGCTGCAGTCTGCGAACTTGATGAAGATGCGCCTCCAGAGGGACTAGAGTTGCTTCCGACCTTCACCGCCTTTTCCTCAGCGGACATCTTAACATCCGTCACTGGGCGTTTGACGCCTCTGGATTCCTCAGGTTTTGCCTTCTTCGAGATGCCCTTGGGTTCCCCTCCTTCGGCCTGTCTCTTGGCCTGAGCCGGCTGAACCAAGGGTTCAACTCGCTCTGGAGCGGGTCTCCCAACTGCATCTGGGCCGTGCACCTCTTGTTCCACATCTGGACCATCTTCCAAGGCTACATGTTCTCCGCCTTCTGTCGGAACAACTGCCTCGCTCTTGCGCTTCCGAGCCTTCTCGACTCGAAGCTTGCCTTCTTCCGTCTGCAGCAGCCTCTGTTGCACTGCCGTTCTGCACTCTGAATTGTGCGACCTTGCGGGCAGTCCCGTCTGGATCGCTATGCATCCAGGACACCCAACGGTGTACTGGCCCTCTACGTCCTTCTTCGTGACATAGAGGTTCCTGGGACCACCGTCCCTCAGTGCTGGCTCCGGCGTGAGCCGTCCTTCCGCTTCTGGAAGTGCGATCCTCACAGGCAGTGAGTCCACATCTTCCGCCATTCTCGGCCTCAAGTTCCAGGGAGTACCCCGAAGCTTGTCGAAGTCCTCCATGTCCCACCTTTGTTCGATGGGGACTCTCTTGATGCTGCCTCCCTTCCAGACACCATCCACGGTCATGATCAGCACATCGCCGTTGCGCCCATGCGTTCCAACATAGCGCCCCAGCTTCAGCTGCGGCTCCATGTCGCCTTGTCCAGCGACATAGCTCTTCAAGGGCCGAAAGTAGACCTTCTCCCCGAAGCTCACCATGGGCCGCTTCCATCTCTTGCCTTTGAGCCTCTCATAGGCAGTTCGACCATCTTGGCCGACTCTGTAACGCGACATCAGGAAATTCCCGTGCCTTGCCACCCAACTCCAAATTGGGTGAGTGTCATTGATCTCGGCCTTGGTCTTCTCCAAGAACGCGCTTTTCATAGCGCGGCACTGTCTCTTGCTCTCTTTGACAGCTGCCTCAGCCAACCCGTTTGATCGGCTGTCTCCAGTCTTGCTCTCCTCCAGCAGCACCTCGACGCTCGATGCCGCCTGAACAGCCTCCTTAAGAGACTTCACAGTGGGCTCATTGTCACTCCTCAAAGTCACCCGCTTGTATCCACACTCGCTCAGGATTCCCACGACGAAGTTGACAGCAAAAGCGTCTGCCCCCTTTGCAGGAACCGCACTCGACCAACTCATGCCTGAGCAGTCATCCTTCACTTGCAGATGGGGAAGTCCTTCATCTTGCTTCCCGAAGAAGTAGTAGTCGATGCCCAAAGTGGGCAATGCCTTCTCCTCGTGGGCCATTGCTGGATGTTTCTCCAGCATCCCTCTGGCTCGCACACAGTGACCACACCAGCTGCGGTGCACTGAGTGCCCTATCATTTCATGCTCTTCGATCTCCTCGGCAGTGGGACTTGTCGGAGCCCTCAACGCCTTCGGCTTGAGCCCCTCAACAGCCTCACCACCGTCGCCGGAGATCTCCATCTCTTCTCCTTGTTCACCCGGACTTACGGCTTCTGCGCCTGCCGGCTGAAACCTCCATCAACCGCTCCAAGGTCTCGACCGACGTGGTCAAAACCTTTATCCTTAGCCGTGCCATTCAGCCAAAGATCGAAAACGTAGATTCCCTTGTGCTCGTAGAGCTCCGTGAGATCATCGGCCTCCTTAGGATGCGCCTCAACGAGCTTCTTGAATGCTGCCCTCATGCCATTCGCGATCTTGCCCGACTTGGGCAGGATCCAGCCTTTGTCACCTTCCAGCACCACCATGTTCTTCTTTGCCACTGCGGTGCCGCTGGCCAACATCCTGTGGACGCCGACCAATCTTCCATCCACACTCCTTCCAAACCCATTGTTGTTGAGACCCTTGACGACAACTCCACCTTCGTCTTCTAGGATCTCACCTGAAGCAGTCTTGTAGGATCTCAGCATTGACTTCGAGTCTCCTTTCACCAAGCCCTGCTCCTCCAAAGTCCTTGGCACAGCCGTGATGGCTGCCCCAGTGTCGAAGTTCACCACCAGCTTGGTCCAACCGTCACTGGTAGTGAAACTGTTCACATCCTCTTCAAACGAATTGATCTCTTGCTTCTTGCCGGTCAGCTTCTCAACCTCGGTGTTGCGGCTTTCGATGAAGTGGATCTCCCTGTCAAGCTCCGAGTGTCCCATTCTGCACTTCGCTCCCCTGTGGCAGTAGGAGCGCCGAAAGTCAGCGCACATCCTTCCGCTTTTGGGATGTTGCAGGTAGAACTCATTGTCGGGGTCCACCTTGTAGGCCTTCGCCTTCCTCATCTTCGCAGCCTTGACTCTCTTAGCTCTTTGCTCCTTCTGCTCCTTGGTCATGACTCGTCGCCTCACCTTGAACAAGTTGGTGCGCTTCTTCCTCATGACCTTTATCTCATCCTCCTTCGTCTCAGTGTTGAACTTCGAGACCTCGTCCTGGGTCAGCTTTCGATATGATCGCGCAGACTTCACAAAGGTGCCTGCGTCCTTCCTCTTCAGCTGACCTCTTCTGACCGGACGGGCATTTCCTCTCAAGACCCTGATTCCTCCATCTTTCGTTTCGACAACAGCCTCCGTTTCTATTCCTCCAAGCGTCTCGTCGTGATACTCTTCATCCTTCACCTTCTTGGTGTCAAACTCACGATGCCAGGCTTCATCCTGACGAAGACGTTCTGCAGCACGTTCTGATGCTCCAGATCGACGGTGCAAGGTGGCCTTGCGGCGTTTCTTCTCTTCGGACCAGGCCTTGGAGTGCGTGACACCCGCTTTGCGAGCGGCGTAGTACCGCGCATCGTGCCAGCTCTGGTCATTCGCAGTCTCCGCCGTCAACTTAAATCCACCTTCCTTGCTCTTGAGCTCCTTGCTCCTTCGGTCGTTGTCCCTGATGGTCTCCTTCAGGATGTTCTTGCGCTCGTCGATCTCTTTGATGCGTGTCTCCAGCACCTTCATCTCGTCTTCATCCTCACAGTCCTCGAGCTCTTGGATCTTCTCTCTCTTCTCGGCATCCAAGTTGGCCACCTCGAGCATTTCAACCGTCCGATGCATCCTCTGACTCGAAGCTGATCCGATGGGTCGAGATGGAACTGCAGCCTCGGCCGATCCACTGGATCGACTCGGGCCGTCCACCTCCAGGGTCGGTCGTTGACCAAAGGTCCGACTCACCCTTCCCACCAGATGCTCCGACAGCTTCTCGAAGTAGCTGACCCTCATCTCTTCTCTGGATGCCTCAAGCTGCTTGAGAGTGCTGGCGTTCTCATCTCGACTTGTCCCCAAGGGATCATGCACCTGCCTCAACTCATCCTTCCTGTCCTCGTCCAAGCTGTGGAAAGCACCCTGCGTGATGCCTTTGAACAAGCAGATGGTCTTGTCCACCAGGTAGTGAAAGCTTTCAGGACGAGTGATCTTGAGCAGGTTTCGAATTTGACTCTTGGACGATCCCGCCGACGTCGCATCTTCAACCAACTTCCTGCGATGATTGCTGCAGACTCCACACTCATGAATGAAGTGACGCTCATTGGGATCCACCTGACACTTCAGGTGCAGGCAGCAGTCACAAGGCTCGGAGCACGACACTTCCTCCGACTTCACCATCACATAGCGCTCGGGTTCCACCCGAACATTCACATAGGTGCTGCTCGAGGTTCCCGTCGGCTCTTCAATCTCCTCAGCCTTGATCTCTTCATCTTCACTCCATTCTTCAAGTCCGGCGATGCTCAAGTAGCCAGTTTCTGCAGTCTCAGCTTCCGGCTCGGCCTCCTCCAAGTTGCTCACTCTGCCACCTTTTCCACTCTTCTTTGACGATCCTTTGGACTTCGGTTGCTGGTTCTTGTTGGCAGCTCCACCACCAGCAGACCAGCAGTCCTTCCTCAGGTGGCCCACCTTTCCGCAGTTGTTGCAGGTCCGGGTTTCCTTGGACCCGTCGCCAGGCCCTTTTCCCTTCGCTGCACCTCCTTTGCCTTTGCCCTTGGAGGGGCCCTTCTTGCCGTCACCCTTGCCGCCCTTCTTGCCCTTGCCTTTGGGGCCCTTGCCAAATGCCCCGATGTCCATGGGTGCCGCACCACCGGGATCCACCACTTTCATGCGGCTCCCCAGGCGAGATTCCAGAAACAGGACGACTTCGCCCCTGACGTCATCGTAAGAAGCGTATCGCGACCTGTTCATCTGTAGGTGCTTTTCCAACTCCACCGGGCATAAGTGCTCGACCACCGATATCTTTATCTCATCATCCAAAATGTGCCTGGTGCCATCACTGCGTTTCCTCGCCTCGTATAACCTCAGCTGTTCTTCCCAGGCTTCCAAGGCGGATGACAAGTCTTCGATCTTGGTGATCTTCGTGGGCGTCAAGATGTGACGCAACAGCGCACGACGTCTGCCTCCTGTCGTGGGATCGAACCTCTTGATCAGCTTTCTCCAGGCCTCACATCCATTGTTCCGACCAGCTGAACGAACGATCGTGAACGACTCCTTCTCACAGAGGCTTTGCAGGACTGCGTAGAACTGAGTGTTCATGCCTTCGACGTTCTCGATGGTCCTGTCGGTCGGGTTGACTGGGCCAAAGCTTGCGAGCAGGTCTGCATTCGTGATCTCGCTGTCCTCATTCTCCGCCCAGGCCATCACCGACTCGAACTCAGGGTAGACCGAAGCGATGAACGACTCCAGTTTCGTCCTCCAGTAAAGGAAGCTCTCCTCCTTTCCATCGAACTTCTCGGGCTTTGCCAAGCCCTTCGTGTCGAAGAGGGTCACGTTCCTCTCCTCCTTCTGCTTTAACCCGTCGATGAGGTCCTTTTGGCTTTGGGCCATGGCTTGGAAGGCTTGTCCAACCACTGCTTGCAGACTTCCAGGCCCAGGGTTCTGAACTTGCTGCGTCAGCTGTTCTACTTGGGCTCTGAGTTGCTGTTCTCTCTGCTGTGCTTCCGTGCCGACTTGCACCAGCTGCTCAACCTGGGCTCTCAACTGGGCCTCACGTTGTTGACCTCCATTGACTGCCTGTCTCAACTCCAGCACGGTGTTGATGAGCTCTTGCGCATTCATCTGAGGCGCTGTTCCGGCAGGTTGCTGGGCCATTGCGTCCTAAGTCGACGCAAGAGGTTTGGATTCAAGTGGTGGTTCAAGTGATGTCCCAGGTACGCGAAGTACCTCTGTTGCCTCCTCACTCTCCGAAGCTTTCGGATCAGCCTTTCCCACCTGCTCGGAACCCTTCTCCGCCTCCTTTGGATCCACCCCAGGGTCCGGCCGATCGAAGCGATCGACGCGACCCCGATCAGGAGTGGGATCCAAGTGAGCTCAACCGCGACCGCCAAGCGAACCACCAGATCGCCAAGCAGCTCCGCTACCATGCACAAAAGTATTGACCCCCAAACCAAGTCAGCAGCAGCGGACCTTTTGTCTTGAGCCAAAATAGTTACCGTATGCAACATGCTAAGACTATGCACAACTGCAGATACAAACAATATATATATATGTATATATATATATGTATATATATATTTATATATGTATATATATGTATAATACATGTATAATATATGTATAATATATTGATATATATATGTATGTATGTATGTATGAATGAATGAACGAATGAATGAACCAATCAATAAATAAATGCATAAATAAAAAATAAATACATCACTGACTATCACCAACTAGGATCCAATACAATTTCCATGAGTTAGAATTAGAAACCAGTTCTATTGGACAGTTCTTCTAAGGGCATGGTTCAAAATCAACACTTTGAAAGTTGGCACCGTCCCACTCTTGGTGAATTGCTAGCAGCCCGTCGCCCATCTAGAAAAATCAACAGTATTGCTGGTGATATTCCCACTTTTCAGCTGATACCAAACCTTCTTTGCCAATCCTTATCAGTGTTTTTCCAAAGACTAAGTTGGTTTAATACTACGACACACCCGTAGAACCACTAGTCATTATCCCAAACTCTTATGTGGGGGGAATCTACGAAATCTGGAGGCTGTGGACAAACAAAAAACAATCATTGATGCAACGGGATCCATTTCTGGTGGTACATGATCCTATTGCCGATGTTTGGGATGATTTGCGAGATCCAAACCACCATTTGTGGGTCATGAGGTCTGTCATTGTGATGTTTACAGTTCACCCAGAATCCCAATGTTTGCTGGTCAAATGCCATTTGTTCTTGATGAACTCTACAATTTTCGTAGGTCTCACCTCCCATTTATGTTGGTTTAAACCAAAATCTTGTTGGTGGCTTCTCCAAGTTTTTCTTTTATTGTTCAAACCAATTTTTGGTTGGGTCAAAGCCTTATTTCAAACTTAAAACCATACATTTCCCCGTGCCCGGAAAACATGCTGGTTAAAATCAGCATGTTCCTATCTTTCTGAGTTTTAACCGCATTTTCTGGCTTTTACCTCCCACGTTTTGCGTTTTTTTTTTTGAAACACGCCGCCTGACCAAAGCGCTCTGGCACACAGCCAGCGAGGTCGAGAAGTTCCTCTTCCACCAAGCGATGCATGGCCTTGGAAAAGATCCAAGACCCACAGATGGTGGTTGTATGGTATAATAATAACAATACATAATAGTGACAATAATAGTAATAATACTAATCATCATCTTAATCATGATAATAATGATAATCATAAACAAATAGTAGTAGTACAGGCAAACCCCTCCTTTTGCCCGCGCCGACGTCCACCACGTGTCCGAACATTAAAAACACACTGTGTTTTGTGGGACAACATGCGCATTTCCATGATCATGGCTTTCATCATCATCATCATCATCATCACCATTATCATCATCATCCTCATCCTCATCCTCCTCCTCCTCCTCCTCGTCATCATCATTATCATAATCATAATCATCATCATCATCATCATCATGATCATGATCATGATCATGAATATTCCCTCAAACATAAAGTTTAATGGAAGTGGGATTTAATGATTCTCTAGAAACTCTGTTGAAACATCTCGAAGATTCCCTTCAACACGCCCAGTCTATATGCCTCTTCGCTGTACTTGGAAACCGTGCAAATGTTGTGTGGGCGAAAGGAGGGGGTTTGCGCGTAATGTCAACCCCGGATTAATAAACCATGGTCTATTATTTAGGGGGGTACTCCTCCAATAATCACGATCTGATACTTAAATGGTAACCTCCCAATTAAACAGCTTAGGGGTTTATTAATCCAGGGTTGACATTAATAATACTAGTAATAGGACTAGTAATAGAATATCACTGGGATATTCATCGGTTCTTATGGATTAATCAATGTATGGTAATTTGTTGATAACTGATGGTTGGTTGATGATATAACCATGGCCTCCCCGAAAAAAAAACATGATTGTTTTTAATGGTTATATCATGAAGATATAGTGGGGATATATGAGGATACAATGGGATTTACTGGTATTTGATGGTTGGTTGATGGCATGACATACTTGTAGGATGACCATTATGAACCATATAGATATCCTAACAAATCCCTTGAAATATGGCTGATTGGTTGAGCCACCGATGCCTCAAAAACGCTGCCCCTCAATTTGGACCATGATCCCAAATATGGTGGAAAATCATACATGTTTGAAACCACCAGTTAGTGATAATATGGCCATATGGTCGGACATATGGTAAAAAGGGATTCTCATAATGCTTGTAACCCCGAAAGAGAGTCAGAAAAGGTGAACTTTGCCGCTAGTATGTGGGATTTACTGGGATCATATGTGGAAAGGAAGATTAGTATGTTACTAATTGGTTTTGTGCATGGTTGGCTACCTGGCTTGGCAAACTAACAAAATGATATGAACAAAAAATCATGTTTGGGAAAATGATCTACATTTCTGGCAGGTCGTACTATCTATGTTGATTTACTTGTGGGTAGTTCTAAGCAACACGAAATGGTAGGTGAATCCTGAAATAAGGCAATTTTGGGAGATGATATTGATTTACCCAAATTATCACCGTGATATGTCATATTCTCAAGAAACCATGGTGTTTGTTGCTCCCCATTTCAACAATGTTGAAACCTTTCTTAGAACCAACGATCAAGAGTTTTTATCCAGGGCAACCAATGTCTCGCCGAATCAATTCTTCACATCCGATTGCTGTGGCTACACCTGACACCAACGAGATCAAATGCTTGGTCCCTTTTTCGAAACCGTTCGTTTTACGGGAAAATGATGATGGCACAAGATGAACACGGTGTCAATAATGATCCATCAACTGGGTAGATTATAATATTTCACTAGCATTGAATTTAATAGTTTCTATGAGACCTCTCTGACTTTTGACAAGCTGCAGGGCCACCTGGGCCGATGGTCAAGAGAAACTCCTGGTGCATGACAGGTGGATGAGTGTTTCATCAAATTTCACCAGTGGAAATGATGAAATGACCACTAGCACTCCCATGGATACCTATATGGGGATGGGTCAAAACCTTGTACCCCTGGTGAACATCAAAATAGCTGGTAAATGGATGTTCATCCCACTAAAAATGGTATCTATAGGTATTGATTCATAGCCATATAACTACCACTTACTAACTGTTGTCCATTTTAGGATACATCCACTATGGAGAACTGGGGATCTCAAGTCCCCCCGCTGCAAAGAACGGCTCCTGTTTGGTGTCTGCATCGGTCATCCCAGGCGGTTGGCCCAGGACGGACAGTTGGGTCAGAATGTGAGAAAGCTATTATAACTGTTAACTATGGTAAAGTAACATATATGGTAATACATTAGTATATAATTACTATAGTTAATATATTATATATAGTTGGTTTGTCAAATGGTTGGTAGCATAGTTTTGAGGCAAATCCATTTGGACTGGTGACTTTGACACTTTTGAAGTAGTCGACTAGGCTGATGCAAAACAAAAACATGGCAGGGATGCCGGAGGAAACACCTGCAAACCAGCATCTTCCATGTGTTATAACCATTGTAATGGTTTTAACTTTATCCCATTTCTTGCTTATTAACATTTATTAACCATGATCAGTTGTCCAATGGCTACCAATGGGACGACGTTCCGATCTGATTCCGGCGGTTTTTTTTGGTCTGAACTTCATCGGAGCCACGTCAACGTCAGCGAAATTGAAGGTTTGACCACTATCGAAGCATGAATTTAAGTGGTGTTTGAACCGCCCAAAGTGGAACACACACACACAGATATATATATATATATATACATATACACAGATATCTATATCTATATCTATATATATTATGTATACACACATATACACATACAAGGCACCCTGAGATCTGCAGTCAAAAAAGACCAATTCCTAATGGTTGGCATCTACGCACTATTCGAAAAAATGTTTACCCGTAGACCTGCCAACCAGCCATGCTTCTGCACTGCTACATTGAGCCGAGATCAGCGTACTGGCTGCCGAGGTCAAACATGAGATTTGTACACTTTCCTACGGGCGAACCAACACAGCAATGGAGCATCACCACTTGAAAGAGGAACCATTCAGGTGCTACAGCGTGGTAACACCTCAAAGGTGTGATGTTTATTTGCACTACGTATGCAATGTGTTATAACAACAGTTATAACACAACAATACTAGAACCATTATGAAAAAACGGTTGTATATCATAAAAACATCATGATGTATTTTCAAGGTCCATCCCAAGCTCATCACCGGCTGCGTCTTTTTTGCCGCTCACTCCTTGATGTGAAAGCTGGTGTACTGTGGCCTCGGCAGGAGTCATCAGCCACCTCAAAAAGAGGCAGAACTTCGTCAAATCCAGTGGTAGAAAAATCATGAAAAATCAATCTGAAACCTTTTGCGGGTTACAGCTGGAAAAAAACAACCTGAACAACCTGAACCTGAAACTTTCATCATATTTTTTTGTGTTTCTCTATCAGAGTTGGACCATTTTCCTCCACCATCTGGGATATCTGGGTCTCCCCGGCCCAACAGGTGTGGGTGATGCTCCCCGAGGGGACTTGGGTGTAGCTGCAGGGGACCCAGGGGATCCAGCATCGACGGAGTCCTAGGGCAGGAGTAGTAGAGAGACCAAAGATTTACCACAATTTATGGTGACTTTTTGGGGAACATGATGATCATGGAGTAGAATAACCACAATTTATGGCCACTTTTGGCCGATCTTTTAAAGGTTTCACCTCGGTTTGTAGCGGTTCTTCTTATTTCGGTTGTAGGACTGACATTTCCCTTCGAAAATCGGATTCAGTGACCGGATGATTCTTTTTTCCAAGTGTCTTCACATCCTGCTGAACTCTTCCATATTGTCTGAAAATAAGGGATTTCACTCCCCGATTTCGTCGTTTTTTCTTGTTTTCTAAGAAGGAAACTTATGATCAACTAACAACTGGATTTTGAAGGGAAATCCATGGTTTGCCTATGATTTTCCGACCAAAATCCCCATGGGTTTCACATGGAGCTCCTCGGGAATGGTGCTGGGCTGACGCACATCTGCCATGGTAAGTGGTTGAATTGATCAGTGGTGTACCATCTTAGCCATCTTTAAACATCAAAAAAAAAATATGTGAGTCAATCACTTCACCAGTCAACCACTCAATGAGCCAATCATGGTTCAATCGTCAACAAGGGTGACACATCACTGCGCCTGCTTGGATAACGCCTCAGGTTTAAGCAACGGGTCGCCAGCTGGGGAAGATGAAGATCCATAGATCCATCTTTGACATCAAACATGCCAGTGCTGTATGGGTGGCTATGATTTGGGGTCAAGAAACAGGTTCCGAAACAGGTTCCAACATGTTCAAACACAGGCCCCCCCAGTGATGTTTCTTAGTGAAAACTGGTTCGCTATATCCCCAAGTCAACCCAAACGTTCACCAGTCGTGGCACCTGTCAACTTTTGGCAATTTCGTCAGGCTGGGGGCCTCACCCTTGTAGGTGGTTAAATTTCAATTTTTGATGGTCCAATCCCAATTTTTCATAGTTAAATCATGTTAAATCCCTATTTTTGTTGGTTCAATCAACAATTTTCATGGTTCAATCCCAATTTTTTAAACAAGAAACGTCAGAAATCTCCATTCACCATGAATTGCACCGAAAGGTTTCCACATTTTCAACCGAACACCCTGCTCCGAGTAACGCTCTGGCGCCAGGGGCGCCAAGGGCGGAGCCTGTGAGAGGTCGGTGGATCATCCGGCGAGGCTGGAGTTTTCATGTTCTCATTACTGGATAATAGGATAATGATAGGATAATGAGAGGATAAGGATAGGATAATGATAGGATAATGATAGGATAACGGTAGGATAACGGTAGGATAACGATAGGATAATGATGGGATAACGATAGGATAATGATGGGATAACGATAGGATAATGACAGGATAATGAAAGGATAATGAAAGGAAAATGAAAGGATAATGACAGGATAAAAAAAGGATAAGGATAATGATAGGATAATGATAGGATAATGATAAGATAATGATAGGATAATGACAGGATAATGACAGGATAATGATAGGATAATGATAGGATAATGATAGGATAATGATAGGATAATGGATAGGATAACGATAGGATAACGATAGGATAATGATAGGATAACGATAGGATAATGAAAGGATACTGATAGGATAATGATAGGATAATGATAGGATAATGATAGGATAACGAGACGAAAATGATAGGATAATGAAAGGATAATGATAAGATAACGATAGGATAACGATAGGATAATGATAGGATAACGATAGGATAATGATAGGATAATGATAGGATAATGATAGGATAATGAGAGGATAAGGATAGGATAATGATAGGATAATGATAGGATAAAAAAAGGATAAGGATAATGACAGGATAATGATAAGATAACGATAGGATAACGATAGGATAACGGTAGGATAACGATAGGATAATGATGGGATAACGATAGGATAATGACAGGATAATGAAAGGATAATGAAAGGAAAATGAAAGGATAATGACAGGATAAAAAAAGGATAAGGATAATGATAGGATAATGATAGGATAATGATAAGATAATGATAGGATAACGATAGGATAATGATAGGATAACGGTAGGATAACGATAGGATAACGATAGGATAATGATAGGATAATGATAGGATAAGGAACGGATAATGATAGGATAACGGTAGGATAACGATAGGATAACGATAGTATAACGATAGGATAACGATAGGATAATGATAGGATAACGAGAGGATAATGATAGGATAATGATAGGATAATCATAGGATAATGATAGGATAACGAGAGGAAAATGATAGGATAATGATAGGATAATGATAAGACAACGATAGGATAACGATAGGATAACGATAGGACAATGATAGGATAATGAGAGGAAAATGATAGGATAATGATAGGATAATGATAAGATAACGATAGGATAACGATAGGATAATGATAGGATAATGATAGGATAATGATAGGATAGTGAGGGACATGCATGGGATGTTATAGGATAGAAATAGGATAGTCATGTGGGATAAATGGGATTATAAGGATTCATCGGCAAAGAATCCCTATTGCATTTGGTGCAGCGACTCTGATTGGTGCGGCTCTTTGCCATAAACATCCCCTGACGGCATGTCATCCATGTCAGCTTCATCATTCGTGAATTCGGGCGCTCATTGGATCTCCAGGACGACTTGGCTTCAAAGTTGTGGACCCTTCCTTTGATCCTCCAATTTTCTGCCGGGTTGGTGGGACATGCCCAAAGTTCCAGAATTCACGACCCAAATATCAATTCCAACACATCAAACATAGCCAAAGTTCCTGTTCCAACTTGCCACACCAAGTTTGGGCTGACTGGCAGTCTGGCAGTCAACCTCCAAAGAACTCATGGCAGGGTAATGTCCCATTGGAGACGGCTCTACAAACAAAAATCCAACTCAGGTCATCGCATGGAGCTTTGAAAAAATGATCATGGAGGTATCATCCCTCCATAGGTCATGCCTTGGGGATCCCCAATGACATGGTGCACCCGCTGATGGTTTCACCTCTTTCAGACATCGATTGCAGGCGTCGAAATTGCAATGCTCACCTGGGCAAAGCAGTGGCTCATCCAAGCCGGTTGATGGTCGGTGAATGGGGAGCTTTTCATCATCCGTTATAGATATGAATTTATAATACATGATATAAATTATATATATATGTATGTATATGTATATGTATATAATGTAGATATATCAATGATATTTTGTCAATAACATTCTACTTTCACATGCTCATATTTTGAACATAGTTTAGCACACCCATCGAAGGCCAGTAGAAACTTGCCAATTTTTCACGGCAACCCCTGGCTTTAAGCAATGTTCATGGGGGAAATGATGATCAACCATGAAAACTTGGGGGGAAGACCGGAAGACCCCAGCATTTTCCGGAAAAAATCCAGGGTGGAGTTCCCAACATCTTTTGTGGCCCCGGACATCTGACCATCATACTACCTTGGTACAGCTGAGTCAGGCTCATCGAACGTGGGAAATCCAGGAAAATCTCCCAACTCAATGGAGGTTGAAATAGGAAAAACATCTATTACCATAGGCAAATTTCCCTATGCTTGATGACTGGAGGATAAAGTCCGAATTTTTGATGGTAACAATGCTCAACATCCCAACTCTTTGAGGGTTCACATCCCCGTTTTCGCTGACTCCCAAGGACTGCTGGATAGGGTAGACCAGTGCATGAGTGAAAGAGGAGAATACGATCCACTTCTTGACGGTTTAACCGGTGCCAAATTGTTTCAGAATTCTTTTTTATTCCATTTGGGGACCTTATTTCTGCTTTACCTTGGAGCTAGGATTCTGTAGGTCGCGCAAGGGCCAGGTTTTCGCGCCAGGACCATGGTTCATAGTAACAAATGAGACAATAGTAACATAGTGCCACCACCACCACAACAACATCATCATCATCAACAACAACAACAAACCACTACTACTACTACTGCTGCTGCTGCTGCTGCTGCTGCACTGCCACTGCTACTGCTATACTAGTACTATTAATCCTACTGATACTGACAATAAGCTTATCAATAAACAACAAGAATCACCTTGCTCCAAGGTGCCCCTCGCATGGATGGCATTGCACACTTGGCAAATGATCCCATCCTGGCAATGCCATGAACCTAGCATGACTGGGGATGGTTGACCCGTAAAAGGTGATGACTTGGGGATACCATCTGGTAATTTAACGTAGCTATTGAAAATGGCCATTTATAGTGGATTTACCCATTAATAATGGCCATTTTCAATGTTAAATTACCAGAGGGTAGTTTATGACATTGGCTGTAACAATTCGAGATGTCAATCAGTCCCAAGAAAAGCCATGGACAAGTATGATGACATGCGACTGGCCGGCTGTTCTCGGTCGCTTGAAGAAAACTCATCTGATTCCATGGCTGGTAATTTCTGCATTTTTGCCGATGATTATCTCCCACTACACATGTGATAGACCCTCTGTTCTGAACCCCCTTTAACGCGCATGGTTTTGAATACCCACCAAAAGGTCAACTTTGGTACTGTAATTGGGATATGTTTTTTATTTTTTATTTTTATGGCATTAGGTTTACGCTATTTATTTTTTTTCTAACTTCTTATCATACTGCTGCTTATATATTTCCAGTATGGCAGGTTTTATACCACATTTTCAGAGAACATAGTTGGTATAACTTTTATGCTCATCAATCCAGTAGCATATTATGCCTACCTATCTTTAATCCCCAAATCATTTTGCGGACATTTATGAATAAACTTGGAAAACTCACCATTGACAATTTTCCCAGCTAGAAAGCTCCATTGAGTTCCGGGATTTCCCAGCCGCCATGTTTGATGATGACACCATGGCTCCATCATATCACCAACCCCAATGAATCCATTATTGTTGCTATGAATTCCCGAGGAAATCACCTAAAAAATCACCGTGCATCAACATAAATCATCATTAAATCACCATAAATTATCATCAAATTAACTGTTTTTTTAAACATCATCAAATCACCACAATTCACCATTAGATCACCATTGAATCATCATAAATCACCGTAAACCATAATTAAATCGCCATAACTCCCCATGAATCAATATTAAATCACCATAAATCACAATTAAACTTCCATTAATATCATAAATTCCCCGTTCCCTTCGTCGTTTTTTGCATCCCTCGCCACCTTTGCAGTGGTCACGTGCTGCACCGCGTGCCCTGCAGGACAAAGGTCCTGATACGCGGGCGCGGGAGGCCAAGTTCTTTGGGATGGGTTGAAATAAAACAGTGACCTGGAAGTGGTTAACTATGGTTATAGTTTTATCAATATAAGTGGTTAACTATGGTTTAACCATGGTTTAACCATGGTTTAACTATGGTTTAACCATGGTTTAACCATGGTTTATGGTAGATATAACGAACTAGTTTTCATTTGGTTCATGAACCAACTTAACTGGGGGCCACCATCTACGGCATGATCCCTCAATGGGAAAACCCACCGGTTTTTCTGGGATTCTCATGGGAATTGGTCAGAGAATGGGAGTTCAATGGGATTTTCACCGGACATCACAGGGTTTCAATAGGAAAACAGAGTTTTTGGGGATTTTTGAATGAGATTTTGTGAGAAAAGGTTAATGGAAAAACAGTCCGAACTCTTTTTTATAGGATTTCCCAAATGGATTTTGGTTTGTCTTTGGATGTCCAGTGATAAGTTGACACATAAAATGGAGTATGAGTATGAACCATTTGTCTTGTGAGACACATCTATAGTCTAGTGATGTCTAGTGTAATCTTTACCCAATAAGTAGGGCTAAATTTCCCATAGTCACGGGATAGCAACCCCACATTTTTGTATGGGAAACACATCTGTAAATGAATTTTTCAATGGATGGATTCCAAGCTGGTAACATGGAATATCAACGGGATAGCAAGGTCATCTCAGGTACCAAGGGAGGATATACGCATTAAAAATGGGGCTTGAACTGGTTTATGATGGGAATATGAGGCAATGACAATAAAGATGCGTTCACGAACATTCAGTCAGATATCCCAAAAATTGAAACCACATCACCTTTTAATCCACCGTTTTGCTGGTTCCATCACATTTTCTTCGGGGTATAGCAACTTCTGCTGGCTTGATTTATCTGGCGACTCTTACAGTGCTTCAAGCTCCATGGTAACATCCAGTGTCTATCCAGTAGGGATCAAAAACAGCTGGTAGTTGTGGATGTTCGTCTCCCCAAATTGGTAGAGAACGCTCGGTGATTTTTCTCCCCCAAATACAGATATGGTAATATTCCATAGCAACCTGTGTACCAGAAGCTAATTCCCATTGCCCCATGAAAAAATCCCAAGCACAATTGCATCACCATTAATTCCCATTAAAACACAATTAAACCATTATTGTTTAACCACCATTAAATCACCATTAATCACCATTCAACCATTATTGTTGGCAATTCACCATGAAATCACCAAGTCATCTCATTCATCCGCCTGCTTCTGCGGGGAGGATGGCATTGGTGAAGCGGACCATTGGGATGGCGATGCCTCAGTGACAAGCCTTGCGGTATTGACTCCACGGATCATGGCTTTAATGGGATTTAGTGGTGATTTAATTGTGATTTATGGTGTATGGTGATTTAATAGGATTTATTGGGATTTAATAGGATTTAAGTGATTTCATCTATCATTGTCACTTTTCCTATTTGAATGGGTCTAAAAGAGAAAAAACATATGCATCATTCATTTGAGGACACGCTCATAAGCGGGTTTCGAAATGGATCACCCCACAGAGATGAGGGCTCTAAAACTGAAACTGGCCAACATCTAACATCAAGGTATACTGTGGGTAAAACAAGGTCATGTTTGCCATCCCCCAGTCATCACCATGTTTATAGGTGGTGTAAATAAACCATTCCCAGTCATGGCTGGTGAAAATGGCATTGTTTTACCCACATTATCCATAATATTCCATAATGGTCTGTCATACTCCCAACCTTGAAATCATCATCTCGAAGCAAAGAACCGCCAGGTTTGAAGAGGAGCAAATGGCGATGGCGATACCATGAAAAAGATCTACAGTTGTTCCCAGACTGGAGGAATCCACCATAGCCGGCCTGGTAAACATGCAAAAAGCTATGGAAAATTACCATTTTCAACGGGTAAATCCACTATTTCTATGGCCATTTTCCAGTTCGCAAACTGTTAGTTTACCAGGCCGGGTAAATCCCAGGGCGGATACCATCCCAGCTGCCGTTCTTTTTCGGATACCGCCAAATCCCTGGACTCAGGTGGTGACTGGCCATCGGCTTCGGTCAGCCTGGTGAATCGGCATCCCGGTATGGCGGTATGGCACTGGACCAAATGTGCATGTGTACTACACACATAGGAATATGTATATGTATGTATATACATTTTTTTGTTTGTGTATATATATATACATACAGTATATATGTATATCTATATCTATCTAAACTATATATATATATCTCTACTACATTTCTATGTGTAATAGAAAAACTGGTCAAGCCACCTACATTCCGTTGCGGTGGATTATGACCCAGCAACGCCTTGGCATCGGACGCAAGTAATGCCTGGCGCGAATGACGTCGGACGTCTCTGGCCATTGTGGTCCCAGCAGTAAACCGCAGAATTTCCATGGTTAATAATGGGATTATCATAGGAAAACCATAGGAAAACCATAGGAAAATTAATGGGATTCAATGGGATTTAATGGTATTACCCTCTGGTAAACATACAAAAAGCTATGGAAAGATCCACCCATTTTTAATGGGAAAACTCACTATTTCAATGGCAATTTTCAATAGCTATGTTAGTTTACCAGAGGGTATCTTGTGATAATTCCGGTCATAAATGGTACCCTCCAACAATGATCAATTGGTGGTCAACAATTAATCCGGGGCTCACATTAAGTGTATTGAAAAACATCGCGCAGCTGCCATCATTGGGCCCAGCTGGGTGTTCCAATAACAGGATAAAAACCTTCTGAAAGGGGAATCCAACCTGGCACTGAAGCACATTCCCCATTTGTGTGTTAGATACAACAAAGATAGAACATATAGTAACCAATCTAGTAACATTCGTAACCCAATCTTAAATACGTCATGGTTGTCAACACTTAGGTTCTTAACCTTGCCATTTTGCTGGCCATGAAATCTTCGATTTTTTTCTGGGCATCGCTACAGAAAACTGCAGTTGAAGACGGGCGGAGATGAGAAGTAGGTCAATGAAACCCTATGAGACTCCATGAAATCCTACCACATCAGAAAACATGTCTAGAATGTGAGCAAAGCAACAATACCAACAATACGCCACCCACATTTCATCATATTTCCATGGTTGAAATCCCACAAAAATGGGATAATTTTGGGCATGGCGGATCCAATTTTGCTTTACCAACATCTCAAAAACCGCGGCTAGATGCTGCCCACCTCCAACTGTTGCCAACGAGTTTCCAGGCTTTTCACCTTCGAAACTGAACATCTACGGCCATCGTACAATGGGATTTTTAATGTTGAAAATAGCCATCAAACAAATTGGGATTTTCCATGTGTTTTAACGAGAGTTCGAGCAGAATTTCTTGGGTTCAATGAACCTACAGGTGTCTGAAACTGGTGTATACCTCCAAGTTATGGCATTCTTACAAGGGACAATGATGTTTTCAACCGTCAAATTCTTGGGGGTGCAATATTTTCAAATAAACCCGTGTTTCGGTTCTTTTGAATCAAAGATTGGGCGACCAGATTTCTGGTTAATTCTGGTGGGGTTCCAAATATTTGATGGGGTTCATTGACAATGATAAGACACGGGCGATGGGGTATCTTCAAACAAACCTGAATGGGGATATCAAAAAACACGCCTAGGGACTTACTTCGCAAAGACATGGAATACTTGGGTATGGGTGCTGCATTTGATCGAGAAAGTAGGCAAACCATGGAAAATGGGATTATTATGGATTACTTCATAATTATTATAATTCTAACCATGGCAAATGGGATTATTATTGTGGATTATGATAATGGATTACCCTCTGGTTATTTAACATAGCCATGGTATAGATGGCCCATTTATAGATGGTTTAGCTATTGAAAATTGTGATTTCCAAATCTAAAGCTTCCAATCCGACTCGTGGAGATGCTCTATCTTGGGACTTCGGGTCATTTGGGTCAAATCACTGCAGTCTCAAGTCATATCTGGAACCGTTGAAACTGCTGAGGTGCTTGCGTAGGAAGATACAGAGTCAAAATGTTGCATTTCATACATTTTTTTTCTATCAAAGGCATATCACATCATCCAACCAATGTCTGACACAAGCCACTGGATATTTCAACCAGTATTCAATGTTGGACCGGTAAATATTTTAGAACTGAGGAAGCCAAGCATGATTGCTGAGAATCCGATCAACGACTGAAATCGCACAGTTTATTCAGAGAAATGTTGATCTCAATCAGAGGGACACGATGATCTACCACTTTTGTTTGTACCTGACATGGAAGAAACATGTATATTTGTGGTAGATGGATGGGCTGTCCATCATCTGTGTTTTTATTGAATGGTTGGGCCATATCAATGTACCCAACCACCATGGATGTAATGTCATTTGTCTGGCTTTGATTTCGGGGTGCTGCCCCTTCGATTATCATCCCAGGAATTGTAAGTAATGTGGGTAAAACAATGCCATTTTCACCAGCCATGACTGGGCATGGTTTATTTATACCACCTCTAAAAATGGTGATGACTGGCGGATGACTGGGGGATGGTAAACATGACATTGTTTTACCCACCCAGATATTCCATGTATAGTTGGGTGAAGTAACACCGCCACCATGCCACCATGATCCTTCCTGGCCCCGCCGTGCCTTGTTTTGGTAAGTGCCCAACGTCTGGATCAAGTGGAACAGGGGCCGGCTGTTTTCCTGGTACCCAGAAGGGTCATCGGACTGCACGGGGACGAATATAGCCAACATATATTGGGTTTCATGGAGTTTCATAGGCTTTAATGATGTTTAATGGACCTAGTGGGTTTCTCTCTGGCAGATGAACCTTCAATTTATGGCCATTGAAGAATGGACACATGATAAACCATTGGGTTTGAGAGGAAAGAACCTTGACATTTCACTAAGCGGGGTCATTTCAACATGGATCAAGATAGCAATAGATTGAGTTGCATTCAACTACCCTTCACCAGTTGGTTCACCCACATTTTCATGGTTAACTCCCTTTAGGTGGGACCAGCCCCATTATTGCCATCATTCTCACGACCCTTCTCTCAGGTTTATCCCAACTTTTCCTTGTCAACTCCCCGAATTTTGCTGGTGAACGGTTCACCTCCGAGTGTTGGTTAAAACCACCACCCCAACAAATGTTGACCAACTTAAATTTCTGCCGGAATGGGGTTCAAGATATTCCAATTGGTCAAATTTAGACACAACGGGGATCAAATGGGTATGGATCACACCTGGGGCATCCCCAAAATTGGACTATACATGATTATACAGCTATATACAACTTTTACCCCAGGTACCAAGCCATTGGGGATTTGAGACTTCCAATGGTCTGCTTTCTGAGTCCAACAATGGCGGATACTTGGGCAACACAGCCATAAATCGAGTATGAAACCTTGAGTGACACCCAATAATTTTCCTCCAAGCCATAGATTTTTTCGACTAGCCATGGGGAATACCATAGCACTGCCTCGCAGTTCTTGATCTTGGTGCCCTCGCGCATGAACCACCTATGGAAGATCTGAAATCAGCTGGTTTGTGGAACGTTGAACCACACAATTATGACAATCAACTTCATCATGATAGCAGCAAAGCAACTTGCCATCACTGTGAAGGAGCTGTTTAGTGTCGTCAAGCCAATACTAAACTACCATTGTGGATGTTCCAAAAACCACCCATCATTTATGGTTAAGGCAGGTTTACCACAAACCCCCTTGGCATTCCCTGTGAATCGTCGCAGGTCACGGTGACCTGTAGATATCAGAGCCGCTCTCCTCCGCAACCCGGAAATTCTCCTGTGCGGGGAGCTCACCGGTGGGGTGGAGTAGTGCGAACCGCAGATCCAACAAAATATGGCGAAAATGAGAGATGCCCCCAATATCCCCCAATTCTATTGTTTCAAATGGGACAAATAATAATAAACCAGTGTATATCAGACAAACCTATCTCCTCTTCTTACTTCCATTCCATTCCATTCCATTCCATTCCATTCCATTCCATTCCATTCCATTCCATTCACAAACATCCAATTTCTTAAAGGGTTTTTGCCACATCTCCTTGTAACATGTTGTTTTTTTGCCAATCAAAAACCCAACTGGGCCACCAGACCCTTAAGGCTGGCAGACTGGGAGCCTTTTGGGCCTCGCGGGAAGGCACTTCTTTTTGGTGGATGATGGTCATACAACACCTTCATTTTGCTGTAGCAAACTATTTTCTACTATATATATATACACATACATATGCATATATATGTATATATATCTAACTATATATATATCTAACTATATATATATATATATATACAATTTATTCATGTGATTTAACCGCCGAAAAATGAATTTATGACTGATATATTGTTAGTGAGGCCTTATTCCTGGTCGTTGCTTAAACAGCCCTTAAGAAAACATTTTTTGAATGGAGAAATTCATCCAGTTACTGAAGCTTTAGACCTTGGCCTTCCAAGGGTGCAACAAAGGTGCCCCACGCCATAATCGTCTCCAGATTCCTGCAATTTGGCAATTTTGGGGTACCATTTCTGGCCAAACTTTCCCATAAAACATCAACCTTTCAAATCTACCCATGGTCAGTTACAGTTCTGTTCCAAAATGGACGAAACCTTGGTCCTGGCCATTTCAGTCTATCTTCAAAAAAGATAAAATGAGGATAAACATTGATAAACCATAGGATTTTGGGGTACCTAAGATAAAACCATGGTTGGTGCCGACTGGAGGTTCGCCCAGACGCCTCCTCCATCAAGCGCGCCAAGGTTTCAGGGGCCGGAGGTATTGGAGCCTTGGTGTCCGATGGGGAAATCTGGGTTTTTGTAGATTTTATGTATATAGGTAGATAATATGATGATATACATACACATTCTTCAGTATGATATATCTATATATATATATATCATTATCCTATTTTAGTGTTTGTATCAACCCCGCCATTTGCAGATGGTTTAATACTGAACTCGACCAGCATTTTGTGGGTCCTGAAGGTAAAGGTACGGGTAAATACCTCGTCTTGCCCGCGTTTGTCGGCGGCCATCTTCGTATGTGCTGAAAACGTGGTAAACATGGGAGTTTTTTGCATCATGGCTAACTTCATGTTGTATATCGGCATGCACAGCATAGGGACCTGTGCGAGTCTCTTACACATTGTCGTCGTCGTCATCGTCATCGTCATCGTCATCATCATCATCATCATCATCAATCATCAATCATCAATCATCATCATCATCATCATCAAACCCTTATTGAAGATATTTGAGGATCTTCAATGAATGTAGAAGTTTAACGGGGGTGGGAGAATTAAACCCTTAGTGAAGATCTTCAATGAATGTAGAAGTTTAACGGGGGTGGGAGAATTAAACCCTTAGTGAAGATCTTCAATGAATGTAAAAGTTTAACGGGGGTTGGAGAATTAAACCCTTATTGAAGAATCTTCAATGAATGTAGAAGTTTAATGGGGGTGGGAGAATTAGACCCTCATTGAAGATCTTCAATGAATGTAAAATTTAACGGGGGTGGAACATTTATATTCCCTAAATGCCCTTGTTGATCTTCCCAATTGAATGTAAAGTCTAACGTTTGATACCCCCAAGTGTACAGCATAGAAGGGGTGTGGGCGACACGGGGTGTTTGCGCGTAAAGGTACCCTTTATTTCCATGGTTGATCATCATTTTTGTCTCTTATTCCCCATGTGGAGGTTTGCTAGAATGGGGGTACCCATTCTTATCATCCAAACTTAGACCATTTTAATTTTGAAACCTATGGTTTTGGGGATCCCCCATTTTAAGAACCCTCCAGCCAATTTCAACTGCGCCCGAGGCACTCGTTCGGCCATGACCTTCTGTTGCAGGTAGGCCACGTGCTGCTGTAAAACCTGAACGGCCAGTTGTAATTGGGGATCATGATGGGATCTATCTTTCCATCAAAATGAATACATAATTATTCTTAAAAATAAGACAACCTGACCTAATCATCGTTTTCACTCACCATGGGATTTAAAATGCTGTCTATCATTAACTTTATAATGGGCTTTATGATTGGTTTTCTGCTCAATGATTCGGCGAACTGGGCCATGGGCTTTGTGATTGGCTTATGGGGTTTATGACGGGAAAATATTGGAAATATGAGTGGGTCGATGATTGGGAGTCTTTGCCGGGTCGGATCTGAAGCGCAAACTTTCAGCTTCTGAACAGCTCTTCCCTTCTGATCCGGAACATTGGGTTGTACTCAGCTGGCGCCACCCCCCCACTGATAAGCTGGTTTATAAATCCCCTTAACTTCAATTAGTTCGATAGATCTAGCATACACCTACCACCTAGTAAGATAAACCAACTTTTACAAATCAACTATTCCACTCCAACTATAAATTCCCCATTAAATCAACTACAAATTCATCATAAATTCCCCATTGTTGTTGGTTAAATCCCTATGTTTCTATCCAATCTCTTCGTGCGCGGTTCAGCGCCGCGCCTCGATCTGCTTGGCTTTGTTGGCAAGGTCAGCCCTGAGAGCCGCCACGATGAAACGGGATGCCAAGGCCCCAAAATTCATGTGACTATATAATTAAAAAAATGTATGTCTAAAGATATGAACCAATGAACTGCCCTAGATTTCAAGTCTGGCCAAGTACATCACCGGAGACTGCTTGATTTGCCAGATTCCCCAATATTGACCCAGTAAGCCAACACCTTTGCAGGGGAATTCAAGATTTTGTGATCCGATTTCAGCAAATCATCGTTTGCAATGAATCCCTTCATCTGGAACATTTCCCAACTACTTGTAGTGACAGAACCAGTTGGCTTGGCCGGTCTTATTTTCTGTGTCATGTAATGATGCTTGGTCGGTTGACCCCCCCAATGGTTTTGGTCAGTCCCGCTTAGCAACTTTTTTTCAGCGAGTTGGTTCAAGATTGACATAGATACCACTTGGACGCCTGGAAAATCGATCGATTAATTCACAGGGGGTCTTTGATTGGGGGGTATCTTATGTGATCCGGAGATGGGATTTTTGGGATTTACTGAACATTTTGCTTGCTGCCATTGGCCATGAACATTAAAACCGATATTATTCAAGATGAACCAGCTATGAAGTGACTAAGATATTGACATAGCAGCCATATAGTGGTGGAGAAGATACATGTCAATTAATTATATGCCATTCAGCATTATTCATCATCACTGGCCATTAATTCACTGGCCATTTCAGGGACCTAAATTGGAGGTACCTACCATATATAAGGCCTATATGATTCAGGGCTAAATTTCAGGGAATCTCCCAATTCATATGGACCAAACAATGGTACTACCCTCTGGTAATTTAACATAACTATTGAAAATGACCATTTATAGTGGCTTTTCCCATTAAAAATTGTGATTTTCCATAGTTATGTTAGTTTACCAGAGGGTAACGTACCTGCATTTTAGCGTACGGAATTTCCCACTGGCCAAGGCTCTGTTGCTCCAGTGTCGCTGGAGCATCAAAGGCATTCAGTGTTGGCATCAGGATGGGCTGCGGCAGTGGCAAACCCTGACGCTGCTGAAAAATGGACACCGCAACACATGGGGATTTCAGGTATAGACTTAGACATAGATACAGGGATATCGATCAATCTATACATCCATCCATCTTCAAGCAGCATAAAATGGTGATTCGACCTCCACGAGGACTTCATCGAGTTTTTTAGGAGCTTACCAGCAGAAAGTATGGGGAATTCATCAGATTTAGGCGGTCAAGTACCATTGGTGAGTAATTGGGGTAGATTTCGAACAACCGAATGGGATGATGTTTGAAGTTGCTACGTTTGCCCAGCCACAGGGGTATATCTCAATTTATGTTTTTCCCTTCATCCAAGTCTGGAATTTGCTGATTCTTTCGGTTCTGAAACTGAGCCCTGTCAACACCTGGGATTTCCTATCAGATTTCTTATCCGAACGGAAACTTGGTAGATTCTTTTACCTCCAGAAGACTCATTCCCATGGCCCACGTGGCTGTGGGCGAAACTGAACTGATAGCATTAGTGGTAGCTGGTCCACAGCCATGCGAAAAAGAAACGGATCGATCAGCTCGTGTTCAAGTCATATTTCCCCAAAACAGGGTGTGTCTGATGAGCTATACCGCTATACCCTCCATCTTATGGTCATTCTTAGAAGTGATGATTAAGCCATTCATTTTGGATGACCATAGGACAATTCCGGCCTGTGGTGGTTGTAGCCATCCGCCCGTTGGCGCTGCCTTGGTTGTCATCAACTCTTGAACCACCACACGCAGCAAGGGAGATTTTAAGCGCTTGCCATTGGAGCCGATCTCCCAAGCAACCCTCCTTGGTTTCAACCAAGACCGGGAAAAGTCTACACTGTGCACTACAATCGAGGAAAAATATGGGAGTTCCAAACATCATTTGACGATGGATTGGCGTGCCAAACCAACGGAAGATCCCAGCTGGGCCCTCGGGCGAAGGGGGAGAAACCTGCCAGAGTTCACGATACCCGAGCAAGCGACAGGGCAAGCGGAGCAGTTTGCACATACCAACAGCTGGAGGTTTTGGAAAAAAAATGGTACCCACCAAATCATCCAAAATTAGAGCATTTGAGTACTGAAACCCATGGTTTTGGGGATCCACCATTTTAAGAACCACCCCAGTTGAACATCTACTGTTAAAAACTGAAAACCTCAATCAACTGGTATGTCTTAAAGTTATCAAAATCTGGGACCATCAGCTCGTTAATAATCATTCCGCTTTTATGTCTTCTTATGAACATCCAATAAATCACAACTTGGAAAGCTTCATGTGTGCACACCAGAACTTGCCAGTCACCAGGGATTTTCGGCGTTCATCCAGGGACCCCCGACGTTCAGGTGAGTCCAAAGGACCGGGGCCCACCAACAGCGAAGGGGCTGGCATTGGCTGCGCGACTTTGGCGCCGCGTTGCGTCGAAAGGGCCGCAACGAAAGGGGGGTGGGAGCCATTCAGGTGATATAGTTACTATGATAATGGGGCTATAAATTCATACTCTTGCAAAGTATCACTATCAGATGTATATATGTATATATGTATATATATATATATATTATAATATATTATATTTTGTGTATATATGTATATATATATATATCTATATCTATATATGTACAGATACAATATATGTTTATATCACCTGTGATCATGGGGATATAATGGTGCTATAATTGTGGAGTTGAGGACATTTTTGGCATGGAACAGTCCATCCAATAGTCGCAACTCCCAGGATTCATGGGGACATTTAGGGGAATCCCGACGAATAGTGGATAGGAAAAACCTATTGGTTTCTGGCAAACTTTCTCTTGGTGGCTAGCAACTGGTTTTTAACTGGCTTGTTGAGGGGATATGTGGACCTTACTCATGTAAGAATTTCCAGTGGCGCCTCTTCCTGCTTGGTTGCCAATGATTCTTCACCGGTTGAGCCAAGATCGGCTACAGGAAGCTCTAGAAGGTGGGACCACCATAGGTACAGGCAAGTAACTGGGCAGGCCCAGCCTTCTAAGAAACCGTGCAGTATCACCCTCTCGAGAATACTTGGCACGCCTTGGGCTTATGTTTTACCTTCTGTCTGTGGCCCAGAGTGTAGTGTTGCAAGCAATCCTTGTGGAGTTGTATGACTCTGGTGTGAGAATATAACTTTTCCACCTCTTTTCCTGTCTGAGAGGAGCAAGCATTGAAACCAACTTCACCTGGCCGCTCCCTTTGAACGGCTTTACGTGGAACATAGCATCGAACTGCGACAGTTCGACGTTTCAAAGTGGCCATGGCAAACCACGGGGAACGGGGAGAGACATGTCTCTCCAGCCCGTTGAAACTCACGGAAACTAGAGATGGGATGGGCGAGTTTCTAAGCTACCCCATGTCATTTGGTAACTTGACTCACAAAATCCCGAGTTCTGTGGGGTATTTGCGGATAAAACCTATCATACCATATTTTGGGGATGAATCCCCATCAGCGGAAGAATATTCGTCAGTTGGGATCATCATCCTAGAGTTGAACATTAAAAGTAGTTGAAACCAACAACCAGACATCCACTGCTATCTTTCATACCCTTGGAAAGGTTGTTCTTATTGGAATTTGCCATCGTTTCTCCAACTGACTCTTAACCATTCACCAACCTTCTTTGTCGCTGTAGATACTAAGTGCAAAAAGCAAACTGAGATGAATATTCCTCCAAGATTTCTACTGGATGGTGGTTTCAACCCCTGGTATACCTACCACTCTGAAACACATGAAAGTCTTACGATTCCCAACTGAATGGAAAGTCATTCAAAATTCCATGGTTCCAGTCACCACCAACCAGTCTAGCAATGAAACCACCTTCACCATCCTTCACCTACGGCACTGCACCCAGATTTCTTCCGTGATCTCAGCTTCGGATCAATTCCAAGCGCATCATGGTGAACTCCGACAGGCCCGTCGCTTCATCAGGCGTCACCACCCTCAAAACCAAGGGGATTGATCTACAAAACTATCACAAAAAAAAACTCCGCCAGGCGAAGTTTAAATCACTATTTCAGGTTTGTATTAGAATTTTTTCGATCCTTTTTCGGGGTTGCTATAGTTCCAAAGATGGGAAACCAAGCATGATATGAGGAATAATGAGGAGATATTTGGTTATACTATGGGACATGACATGAGACATCATGGTCGCAACAACCAAGTTGATACTTGGCAATGTCTAGAAGGGGGATATACCTCAACATGGCAATGGAACAACTGGAAAAATGATGGTAACCCCTTGCATCTTGGGGTAGCCGGGTAGCCCATTTTCGACAGACCCATATCAAGAGATGTCAAGAGATATGGCAGCTCCTTAAATTGGAATGTAGCGCGATATGAGATTCCATTCAATCATTGGGATGGATCAAGGGATATACTAGGACACGAACTCAGCCCTTGGTTGGGATAGGTTGGGATGCGACCCAGTTGCCAAAGCATTATGAATCGCATGGATTGCACCTCTGGAGACCGTTACTCTTGTCACCAAAATGCACCACTGTGAAACCTCAAAATCCAGTGGGTTTATCACTCTTTTCACCCAAATCCCTGCAATTTTTTGGGCACCACTTGTTTTTTAAAATTTCCACACCCTGCTCCCAGCAACGGGGGCAATTGCCAAGCTGCTTGAAAGCGGGTCTGAACAGAATCTTTGACCTCCACTAGTGAAATGTGGTAACCCATCAGTAACCCACCATCTCCACAGGTTTTGGATCCGAAAACCATACATCCAAGGATGACTTTGTGGGAGAAATGTTGGCAACATTTTGCACATTGGGTGCATGATATCTTTTCCAACCCTAAACCAAAGCTTTCTGGTTTGACGCATCATGTATATTCATTTATCGCAACATGTAACAACGCCATTCAAATTCGTCAAACACATACTCCCAAAAGGCCAACAACGAAGTGATTGCGGGGTTAAGAGCGCTTCTTGTTTGCTTTACCAGATGAAATGAAAAATAATGAACATAATGGACTTACATTCTTTGACTTTCCAGTCATCTGGGATTACAGATGGATGCGCTCCCAACGCGAGTCTTCCACTAACGCACCAAACTTTTGCTCCACAGGAATTGGCGAAAATTCGGTAGCAAATTAGGAAGGGTTGAACTTGACCAATAACTTGGATTATAACGTGACCTCAATCACGGCTGTTTGTGGCTGTGTAGAAAGAACCAAAGTATGTATGTATAGACATATACATACATATGCATTAAACAGATTCATTTTTTTCCCCGGAAACAATCAATCAATAGAACATCCTTAGAACATCTATTCGATATTTTGATGCATGATGATCACAACAATAATAATCATGCAGTATCATGCACTATTCAAAACAAAATATCTTCATAATAGTATATATAGAACATAACAGTAACAAACACTACTGATCATAGAATATCTGGTTGGTGGTTTTAACCATCTTGAAACATATTAGTCAATGGGAAAGACTATCCCATATATTATGGAAAATAAACAATGTTTGAAACCACCAACCAGATATATGATGAATCCCTACCTGAATTCACCTTCCCAGCTACCTCTCTGGATCATTCTCCGCATACTCCAAGATCTTCTCGGCACGCGGCAGGGTCTTCATGACCATCGGCACCGTGTCGGGCACGAAGGACAGCTGGATCTTCTTGTGTTGCCTCGGGGAACAACATTTCGGGGATCATATGGGATCATTCCACTCATATCATATGGGATTATCCATGTTGGAAAAATATGGCACTAATGGTTTTTCATGGGAGATCCCTGACATCGCCATAGCTATCCTTGGAGATGGGATTTGGTCACCGAAGCAACCATCAATTCAGCAACCAGCAATTGTCCCATGAATTCATCACTAGCATCAACTGGAGGTTTCATAACAAATGGGTTTTACACTCTGGTAATTTAACATAGCTGTTGAACATGGCCCTAGAAATAGTGACATTTCTCATTAAACATGGTGATTTTCCATCGGTTTTTTGTATGTTTACCAAAGGGTAACACTCAAATGCTTTATTTTTGGATGATTTCGGGTACCTTCATGACCTGTGGAAACCTCCAACTAAGCATTGGCCCAGTTGCTGAAGGTTCACAGAAATCGCGGACGCCAATTTGGCTCGTTCGGTGCTCCTTCCCACCTGGCGTTTGAAACCGAAGCCTTGGGTTTTTTGGATCAAGGAATGGATAACATGTATTTTTTTTTCCAGGCAAAATAGGGAAACTTGATGAAACGATCAAATGCGTCCAAAGAGATGCGATTCATTCGGTTTTGGACTCAAAAAATGGGGTCAAACCGGACATATGCCCGATTCCCCATCTGGGGTTTATCGGGTTTAATGGGGTCTGATAAGGCCTTCCCGCAAACTCGCAATGTCAATAGGGAAAATGATGACAAACTCAAACTCATGTGCTGATGGAAACAATAAAACATGAAGAACATTTGAGCCACGGAGATGACTGAAACAATGCAACGGAGATGTCTGTGTCCCCAATATTTTTGTACCAAAAAAGACACAGTGCAGTTACCCTCCAGTAAACTAAATAGCTACGGAACATGGACCATTTGTAGATGATTTAGCTATCAAAAATTGTGATTTCCATAGCTATGCGAATTTACCCAAGCAACCAAAACTGCTAATGGAGGAGGACCACCATTCTAGTACCATTCTGCCATATACAGTTTCCCAGATATCGTCCCATTACTATACAGACCATGATTACATCCCATCATTTCCATCATATCCCAGTAATATTACGGCCAAACACCTTGATTTGCCCGCGCTTTTCGGCGGCCATCTACCGACGTGCTGAAAACGTGGTAAAAATGAGAGTTTTTTGCATGACCGGTAACTTGAAGTTGTTTATCTCAACGCACAGGTCCCTGACCTGTGCGCGGCTTTTACACAGCATCATCATCATCATCATCATCAACATTAACATCATCATCATCATCATCATCATCATCAACAACATTAACATTAACATCAACATCATCATCATCATCATCAATCATCATCATCATCATCATCATCCTTCATCCTTCATCCATCAGCATCCATCATCGGGACTACCGGAAGATACTTCCCAGGACACGCTTATTTTCCCCCCTGGACTGGCTTATAGTTGTCACTCCGAGGCTTCCTTATCCTCTTTAGGATGAAGCCACCAACATTGGTGGAAGTTGTAGGCCTGGTTGGGACTGACTCCCAGGCGACCAGTGAGCAAAGCTTCCTTGTATTTTGCATGCGCAAGCAACACATTGAGAAACCCTGGACGGCGTAGCAGTGCCGCGCTGCTTTGAGCCTGTAGAGTCCGCATCTGAGGCTTGGCGTGTCGACCTCTGCTGTTTGTCTTTCGCATGATATTGGCAAGATGCCCGAAAATACCTTCAGCACAATTGTCGCCCCCCGCGACGCGGAAGTGCCTCTGGTACATTCTGGCTCCTTTCCGTTTACCATTGGATTGCTTATCCAGAAACTTCTTGGTCTTGGCGGGCAATTTCTGCTTGCTGACCTTGGAGGCTGGCGTAAACACCTTGGTCTGGTGATTTACACCGCCTAGAACGATTCGGCCAGCAGCAGCACCCTTCCATGCTCTTGCACCATCCACCCCAAGAAGAGCTGAAGCAGGGGTCTGCTTTTGGATAGGTCCAGAAACTTCTTCGACGGTTTCCGGTCCCATCCCTCGTTTGCCTTTGCTCACTTTGACAGGGAGTGGCTGACTACTCCATTGTTTGCTTTGACGCCCTTTGAGGACCAGCATCCTGCCAGAATGTATTCGTTTTCCACATTCATAGCCGCTCCCAAATCTGGCCGAGTCAGCCTCGACCACTTCCGTTGGGAACTTGAGCGTCTCCGCGTGCAAGTACTCACTGAAGGCTAAAGCGATGCGATGCTTCTGGTACAAGTGCTCGATGCGTTTGGTTTGTGCCACCAGAGATGTGTCCTTGGTGCGGGTCATATGCACGGCTTGGTCTGGAGCCATGCGCAAGCCAAAGGCATAGGCAGAGCGCACGAATGTCACATAGTTTGGACGTTCGCACCTGCGTTTGTAACCAGCAAAGGCGTGAATGCCAGAAGAGGGTCTTCAATTCTGGGTCGACTTTTGCAGGTTCTCCCGGCAGAACATCTGTAGCCTTTTCCAGCTTTGTCCATTGGAGCCTGACAGCTCCAGCACTTGAAGCTCAAGTCATGCCGGTTGTGGTGTAGCAAGCCTTTGTCTATAAGCAAACGTCTTGCTGTCTCATCACGCAAAGCAGCTATCTCTTCGTATGAAGGTATGTCCAGATCAGCTAACTTCATAGTGTCAGGTGTTCCTGTAGTTCTTCCGGAATAAGAAACGCCATGTTTTTTCTTGAAAGCACGATTCGCGGATACCTTTTTGCCGAATTTGCCACATTTGCCGAGTCGCACATGCTTCTCCACCTTGTTGCCACTTTTGCCCATCTCACTTGGTCGGGATCTTGAAGCGAGCGCGGTCGACCCGCCTTCTTGGCTGGGGCTGCACAGTGACCACGGGATTCTTGTCGAAGTCTTGTGCTAGCCTGATGCAGCACTGGATGTTGTTTCTTGGGGTGAAGGTTATGAATGGGTTCATGTTGGTGCCATGTTGTATTTAGATAGTATAATATCTTCTAGGTATCAACTTCTATCCAATGGTTCCAGTGCTAAAGTATAAATCTTCCAGGTAGCAACTTCCATCCCAAGGTTCCAGTGTTAAGTCAAGGAGCAAAGCCATTGATACCGGATCCTCAACCCAGCATGTGGTGCTCAACACATCCTGCGATCTGATGTCGAGCCATGATCTGATGATTTCCCTCGCCTTGGGTGGCAACTCTATGTACTGCATGTTGGGCCAGTCTCAGCGGCGTTTGGGCAACGCAAGTTCAAAAACATCATCCCAATTAAGTATAAAGGTTGGAGGTTTTGCCAGTTATATGTAAGAATATTCCATAAATACCCTTGTTGATCTTCCCCATTGAATGTAAAGTTGAACGGGGGTGGGAGTTTAATATTCCCTAAAACCTTTGTTGATCTTCCCAATTGAATGTAAAGTTTAACGGGGGTGGGAGTTTAATATTCCCTAAATACCCTTGTTGATCTTCCCAATTGAATGTAAAGTTTAACGGGGGTGGGATTTTAATATTCCCTAAATACCCTTGTTGATCTTCCCCATTGAATGTAAAGTTTAACGGGGGTGGGAGTTTAATATTCCCTAAAACCTTTGTTGATCTTCCCAATTGAATGTAAAGTTTAACGGGGGTGGGAGTTTAATATTCCCTAAATACCCTTGTTGATCTTCCCAATTGAATGTAAAGTTTAACGGGGGTGGGAGTTTAATATTCCCTAAATACCCTTGTTGATCTTCCCAATTGAATGTAAAGTTTCACGGGGGTGGGAGTTTAATACTCCCTACAATCTTTGTTGATCCTCCCCATTGAATGTAAAGTTTAACGGGGGTGGGAGTTTAATATTCCCTAAAACCTTTGTTGATCTTCCGAATTGAATGTAAAGTTGAACGGGGGTGGGAGTTTAATATTCCCCAAATACCGTTGTTGATCTTCCCAATTGAATGTAAAGTTTAACGGGGGTGGGAAATTAATATTCCCTAAATACCCTTGTTGATCTTCCCAATTGAATGTAAAGTTTAACGGGGGTGGGAGTTTAATATTCTCTAAAACCTTTGTTGATCTTCCCAATTGAATGTAAAGTTTAACGGGGGTGGGAGTTTAATACTCCCTACAATCTTTGTTGATCTTCCCCATTGAATGTAAAGTTTAACGGGGGTGGGAGTTTAATATTCCCTACATACCCGTGTTGATCTTCCCAATTGAATGTAAAGTTTAACGGGGGTGGGAGTTTAATACTCCCTACAATCTTTGTTGATCCTCCCCATTGAATGTAAAGTTTAACGGGGGTGGGAGTTTAATATTCCCTAAATACCCTTGTTGATCTTCCCCATTGAATGTAAAGTTTAACGGGGGTGGGAGTTTAATATTCCCTAAATACCCTTGTTGATCTTCCCCATTGAATGTAAAGTTTAACGGGGGTGGGAGTTTAATATTCCCTAAATACCCTTGTTGATATTCCCAATTGAATGTAAAGTTTAACGGGGGTGGGAGTTTAATATTCCCTAAATACCTTGTTGATCTTCCCAATTGAATGTAAAGTTTAACGGGGGTGGGAGTTTAATATTCCCTAAAACCCTGGTGATCTTCCCAATTGAATGTAAAGTTTAACGGGGGTGGGAGTTTAATATTCCCTAAATACCCTTGTTGATCTTCCCAATTGAATGTAAAGTTTAACGGGGGGGGGAGTTTAATATTCCCTAAAACCCTTGTTGATCTTCCCATTGAATGTAAAGTTTAACGGGGTGGGAGTTTAATATTCCCTAAATCCTTGTTGATCTTCCCCACGGGGTGGGAGTTTAATATTCCGTGTTGATCTCTCCGAATTGAATGTAAGTTGAACGGGGGTGGGAGTTTAATATTCCCCAATACCGTTGTTGATCTTCCCAATTGAATGTAAAGTTTAACGGGGTGGGAGTTTAATACTCCCTACAATCTTTGTTAATCTTCCCAATTGAATGTAAAGTTTAACGGGGGTGGGAGTTTAATATTCCCTAAATACCCTTGTTGATCTTCCCCATTGAATGTAAAGTTTAACGGGGGTGGGAGTTTAATATTCCCTAAATACCCTTGTTGATCTTCCCAATTGAATGTAAAGTTTCACGGGGGTGGGAGTTTAATACTCCCTACAATCTTTGTTGATCCTCCCCATTGAATGTAAAGTTTAACGGGGGTGGGAGTTTAATATTCCCTACATACCCGTGTTGATCTTCCGAATTGAATGTAAAGTTGAACGGGGGTGGGAGTTTAATATTCCCCAAATACCGTTGTTGATCTTCCCAATTGAATGTAAAGTTTAACGGGGGTGGGAAATTAATATTCCCTAAATACCCTCGTTGATCTTCCCAATTGAATGTAAAGTTTAACGGGGGTGGGAGTTTAATATTCTCTAAAACCTTTGTTGATCTTCCCAATTGAATGTAAAGTTTCACGGGGTGGGAGTTTAATACTCCCTACAATCTTTGTTGATCTTCCCCATTGAATGTAAAGTTTAACGGGGGTGGGAGTTTAATATTCCCTACATACCCGTGTTGATCTTCCCAATTGAATGTAAAGTTTAACGGGGGTGGGAGTTTAATATTCCCCAAATACCCTTGTTGATCTTCCCAATTGAATGTAAAGTTGAACGGGGGTGGGAGTTTAATATTCCCTAAATACCCTTGTTGATCTTCCCCATTGAATGTAGAAGTTTAACGGGGGTGGGACATTATCTTCCTAATTGCATGTAAAGTCAACCCAATGGTAGGGTATAAAAGGGGTGTGGGCGAATCAGGGTGTTTGCGCGTAATATTACCATAGATATCAATTTCCCCTGGGTATATCCCACGAAATATCCTACCATCATAGCCAGCAAGATCTCGTGCCTTCAGTACTACCTCAGTCTCCTCGTCCACGATCGGCTTGGGTTCTACGACCTGAGTTTCCGCAGGGAGCTGGAACAATCTTGAGACACTCTTAGTAGTTCCTTGGCTCCGAACAGCTCCCTACCACTAATGGCAGACAAAAATCAAAAAACCTATCGATGGGACATGAATTGACCTCCAAAAATACAACAGAATTTGGTGATGTAAAAAAATATACCGTTATTAACCATACCATTTTAGACTTTTGACCTGTACCAATCTTTTGCGTATAATTTGAATGAACCATGGCTGATTTTTCCCCACCTGCCAGGTGAGGGTTGTTAGATTTTATGTCAGTTGCCTCCTCCTCCTCCTGCTCCTCCTCCTCCTCCGCCTCCTCCGCCTCCTCCTGCCTCCTCCTCCTCCTCGTCATCCTTGTCGTCCTCGTCGTCCTCGTCGTCCTTGCTCAACTGCGATCCGCGATCCACAGTGTTCTCTGCCGGACCTCAACCACGACCACCCACGCCCAGTGTTCCCTGCCGGACCTCAACCACGACCATCCGCGCCCAGTGTTCCCTGCCGGACCTCAACCACGACCATCCACGCCCAGTGTTCCCTGCCGGACCTTAACCACGACCATCCACGCCCAGTGTTCCCTGCCGGACCTCAACTGCGAGTATCCACGCCAAGTGTTCCCTGCCGGACCTCATGTAGGAATGTCAGATAGACTGCCAGATAGAATGCCAGATAGAATGTCAGATAGGATGCCAGATAGAATGCCAGATAGAATGTCAGATAGGATGCCAGATAGAATGCCAGATAGAATGCCAGAAAGAATGCCAGAAAGAATGCCAGATAGACTGCCAGATAGAATGTCAGATAAAATGTCAGATATAATGCCAGATAGAATGCCAACATATATGCCAGAATATATGTCAGATAGAATGCCAAAATATATGTCAGATATAATGCCAGATAGAATGCCAGAATATATGCCAGAATATATGTCAGATAGAATGCCCAAATATATGTCAGATATAATGCCAGATAGAATGCCAACATATATGCCAGAATATATGTCAGATAGAATGCCAAAATATATGTCAGATATAATGCCAGATAGAATGCCAGAATATATGTCAGAATAAATGACAGGTAGAATGCCAGAATATATGTCAGATGAAATGTCAGAAAATATGTCAGATAGAATGCCAGATAGACTGCCAGATAGAATGCCAGGTGGAATGTCAGGATATATGCCAGATATAATGCCAGATAGAATGCCAGAATATATGTCAGATAGGATGTCAGAATATACTAAATATATGTCCAAATATACGTCCTGACATGTCATGGTGGGGATCACACGAAGTAGAGTAATTTGCTAAAGAGAATCCACTTACTTTAGTGGCCAAAGGTGCACATGGCTGATGATTTCTATGGAAAAATCATGGCAAATTCATGTGACTGGGGATCTATCCCCCCATTTTCAGCCAGCTGTGAGTGACCTCCATATGGTTGAATGTAAACTTATCAGATTCGTGCTTCTCTGTCCATCACCATAAACATGGAAGGAGGCTGGGATGGGTCAGATACCGCGTACCAATTACTTTGACCCAAAACCATACAGATTTCTGTTCTATATTAGAATCGGGACAGTACGTGAAATGAATTCGAAGATCGTGCTGCTCAGCATGAGACTCTCCTCTTACAAAAGATGTTGTCGAACCATTTACTCAATATCCCAGGAACATATGCAACATACCATGTAAACTAAGGGGTGAATCCGCAATCAATAGTTGGTTTGGGTGGTTTGGAATCAAGGGGAGAATCACAGAGTGGGGTATCCAAAGGACTCCAAACCAAGGGGCCCGAGGGCCCAAAGTCACCGCTGATAATAGGTGAACCCTGTAATCCGGGAATCCACCTTGACATTTGGTACCCCCAGAATGGGTAAACACTTCAACTAACCCTTTCGTCTGTGGTCAATAGTGGGATCTTTAATTTTGGCCACCCAACCCATGACACCATCCATTGTTTTTTGGAGGTCAAACCCAGTAAACTTCAGCCTTTCAACTTTGGTCATAGAACCATAGAAACTCCATGACACAACCAAACATCACAGGGTTGATGGGAAAACTTGCGCACAACAACCACAAACTGGTTGGGGGTTTGCTGTTTAGACCACTGCTGAAAAAATGCGCACAAAGAAATTAACGACAATCTCAAATTAGATGGTGCTACACAAATTATTTGATCTGGCTGTGGGACCCTGATACCAACCTTTCCGGCCGAGCTTCCATTTCCAACAGCGTCGTCCCGTTGCTGAACCTATCCTTCACGTTGGTGTTTGCATTCCTCGGTCCAGCCCGCATAGCTAACCCACATGGGAATACCACGAGTCACTAGCAACAGTCGAATGCAATCAGTGCAATTGGGGGCGCGGTATATCCCACTGTTTGGGTATTTTGAACCTACCCAACATACAAATCGGGAATTCGGCGAGAAGGTTTCAGCAAACTAGTTTTTTTTTTTTTTTTTACACCGTCCTGATAGTTTGAGGACCACTTGCACTTGATCGAGAGAATATGGACAGATGAAAAGCAGAGGTGGTAAGAGTCAAAGAAGAAAAGAGAAGAGAAGAGAAGAGAAGAGCAGAGCAGAGCAGAGCAGAGCAGAGCAGAGCAAAGAAGAGAAGAGAAGAGAAGAGAAGAGGAGAGAGGAGAAGAGAGGAGAAGAGAGGAGAAGAGAGGAGAAGAGAGGAGAAGAGAGGAGAAGAGAGGAGAAGAGAGGAGAAGAGAGGAGAAGAGAGGAGAAGAGAGGAGAAGAGAGGAGAAGAGAGGAGAAGAGAGGAGAAGAGAGGAGAAGAGAAGAGAAGAGAAGAGAAGAGGCTGTAATGTTCAGATTCAGACATGACAGTGACGATGACGATGACAATGACGATGAGAGTGATGATGATGTTGATGATGATGATGATGCTGATGACGACGATGCTGATGATGATGCTGGTGACAGTGGTGGTGATGACGATGACGAAGATGCTGATGATGCTGCTGATGATGATGGTCGTGGTGATGATGATAATGGTGATGATGATGATGATGATGCTGATGATGATGACGATGACGACGAGGAGGAGTGATGATGATGATGATGATGATGATGATGATGATGATGATGATGATAACGGTGATGATGATGATGACGATGATGAAAATGACGATGACAAGGGGTGATGATGATAATGTGATGATGATGATGACAAAAAGATGATGATGATGAAGATGATCACGATGATCATGATGACGATGATGATGATGATGTTGACGAGTGAGCATGGTGATGATGATGCTGATGATGACGATGACGATGATGATCATGATGATGATGACGATGATCATGATGATGATGATCATGATGATGATCATGGTGATGATGATCATTGTGATGATGACGTGTGATGATGATGATGATGATGACGACGAGTGATGATGAGTTGTTGACGATGATGATGATGATGATGTTGATGATGGTGATGATGATGATGATGATGTTGATGTTGATGGTGGTGATGATAATGATGATGATGATGAGCACGATGATGATGATGCTGATGATGACGATGACCGTGATGTTCATGATGATGATGATGACGACGACAATGATGATCACGATGATCATGATGATGATGATGATGATGATGATGATGATGACGGTGACCGTGATGATGACCGGGATGATGATCATGGTGATGGTGATGATTGTGATGGTGACGAGTGATGATGATGATGATGGTGATGATGATGATGACGACTACGAGTGATGATGATGTTGTTAATGATGATGATGATGTTGATGATGGTGATGATGATGATGATGGTCATGATGATGCTGATGCTCATGATGATCATGATGATGATGATGATGCTGCTGATGATGATGATGATGATGATGATGGCGATGACGGGAACAAGGAGGGATGAGGATGGTCAGCATGAGCTGATGAAATCCTGAAAATGATAACCCTTGGGGACCAGGGGATCACCCTCGGGGACTGGGGGGGGATCGAACCTGGGCCTGCCAGGGGGGGGGGTCTAACTGGAAAGTTTCAGGGTTTCCAGCGGTCCTGGTGCCTGCCTATTCCTTGCTAAAGCATGAGCAACTTCAGCTAGCACAAGCTAGCTTTCGTGATAACTGGTTCGTAAGTCGGGTTATAATCCACTTACAAATGACATAACCCTGCTTAGGGGACCTGCTAGCCAGGGTTAGTAACCACTTACTAAGTGGGATGATCCTCCAAGTGCTACTTAGTTTAAAATGACCAACAACTGCAGGCTGCTGGCCATTCACATTTTGGTCCCGTCAAATGCCAGGCCATGTTCAATTGGTCCCAGCAGTTGGCTGAATTTGTGGAAACCAAGGCAATTTTTCCAGGACACCCAGAGGTTGCCAGATACAGGAAGGGTTTTCCCACAGATTTTCCCACCAGTTCTGGGATAGACATTGATTTCTCAATGTTCAATGAGAACATCATCTGCAACAGGCCCGCGAATAACTGCTGCCCAAAAACTCAGTGACCACGTGCCAAGCGGAATGCACCCACAGAGCCGTTGGCTCCTGGTAGCCATCCTCAGTGGATGGGATGGGTATTGAATATAGTGCCTCAAAAAAGACTTAGGCAAGTTATTCTTAATATTTAAAGATTTTGCATTTGGATCCTTTTTAAAGGAGTTGCTTAAAAACCTTTCAAGAAATGGAGTTGAAGACGGTCTTTTGGGGGCAACTTTGAAGGGGTGAGCTATATGTGTGGCTTTTGTGCGTGGCAACTGAGGGATGAAGCAAGCCTTGCATGGGCTCAATCACCACCTACCCCTGTGGTGTAGGTCCCATCTTGCGCCTGCGAAAACCTCGAAATTCTTCAATCCCTACACTCCAAACCATTGTTTTGGATCTATAACCATGGTTGGCTCACATCGTCATGGTATGGCATGGTTATGTAGAGTGCGTGGTATTTTTTGGGTCAAAACCAATATGCCAACCATATTTTTTGTCCCGATTCTGTCAGTTCCCTATCCCCGTCTGAGCAGTGTTGATGACAATGTCTAAAACCAATCAGCACTGGACAGGTACTATTATTTTTTCTTCATAGTGATGTTTATGTGTATATTCATAAGATCGTAGTTTTACATGATATATATATAAATATATATATATATGTAAATGCATATGTATATGTGTAAATGTATATGTATGTAAATATATATATATATATGTACATGTGTATATATATATATACATATATGTATTGTCAAAAAGCACATATTTTATGCATACTGGTACACATGACATTCGTAAAACACCATTGGCTTTCTGGGGTTTATAGTTGCCGAGAAATCCAATTGCTCACTATTCATGAACTATGAATGGGAATATCTTTCCCCTGATGAACTACCATCAGACTGGACTTTGAGAACTTCTGTTCATCTGAGCCGTGTTCAAAACCTGCGTTCAGTCATTCCATGAAATACTGGTTGAGAACAGGGTTCAACCCCCAATCGATGGGGATAATCCCCAACAAACAAGGGGTATAATAATCACCAATAGTCATCAACTAGCTATCCTGTATCAAGCGCATCCCAATTTTCAATGGTTAAACACCACTAATGTTGGTAAAACAATGTCATAAACCATCCCCCAGTCATCACCATGTTTATAGGTGGTATGTTTAACATTCCCAGTCATGGGTGGTTTATGACATTGTTTTACCCACATAAAAAATGGTTGGTTTACCCTCTGGTGATTTAACATAGCTATTGAAAATGGCCCATTTAGTTGGTTGAATTACCTATTAAAGATGATGATTTTCCATAGCACAGTGTTAGTTCAGAGGGTACCTCCATTGTACCTGACTAAAAATTATGGTTTTGAATGGTTCCGAATGGTTAAACATCACAAAACATTCCAATTTTCAATGGTTAAACATCCATTCACCTCCCAACAAAATATGGTGAATTTATATATCAATTGGATAAGGTAACTAAACATCACTAAAAAAATCATGGTTGGTTAAACCTCCATTCGCCACACAAAATCCATCGATTTTGACTGCGGTCACCGGGGCACGGAGGTTTCGTTGTTTAGGAAACCTTCTGCCCTGATCACCGAGCGCACGGCGGTTTGGATGGACAGGTTGCCAACGGCCTGGTCGGGGGGTCGGGGTTACCTGGTCGGGGGGTTTCCAAAGTCTCCGGGGAAAATCCATCTATAAATGGATGATGATTTAGGGGTACCATGACTTCAGAAACCTCCGCTTCGAGGATGAAATAGAAAAACTGGATTTTCGACTGATCGGAAGTGTCCGAATTCTTAGTCCCTTTTTTCGACATGGGTGAACTGCGGCTGCTAACTTCTAACTAGTTATTCAGTGGCATGATCTTCCAAATATCAGGTTATACTTATGCGGCGGTTTGGGTTGGTGGTTTGGAAGTCTGGGAAATCAGGGTTATGTGCAAAATAGATTGAAAGAAGGAGTTTGTTTTGTTTTTGTGTTTTGAATTTGTTTTGTTTCTTGTTTATCTAAGCTAATCTATCTAGTCTATCTTTCTATGTATCTATCTATCTGTTTGTTTGTCTGTCTGTCTATTTATTTATCTAATATCTCGACTCCAACCTATCTATTTGTTTGTCTGTCTGTGTGTCTGTCAATCAATCAATCAATCAACCAACCAATCAATCAATCAACCAATCAATCAAGTATATCTAATCTATCTATTTATTTGTTTGTCTATCTATCAATCTAATCTAATCTTCTCTGACCTAATCTAATCTAATCTAATCTGATCCAACCTATCTAATCTTTCAAGTCTGTCTATTAATCTATCTAATCTATCTAATCTGCCTGATCTATCTAGTCTACCTCATCCATCTGATCTATGTAATCTACCTAATCCATCTAATTGACCTTATCTATCTTTTCTATCTAATCTACATTAAAACAAAGCAGGGAAAAACCGTTCTTCTTGAAACCAATTCCAGTGTGATCCTTTCCTGTACTCTGACTGATGCAGGCTTTATGATGGAGTTTCCATGTTGTTTCCATGCAGGTTTCATGTTGGTTACATGCTGATTTTGCTGATTTAGCTTACTGGTGCGCAACCTACATGATAAGTCCCTGGAACCTGCACGGAACCTCCATGGAACCTCCATGGAACCTGCATCAGTCAGAGTACATGATAAAACCAACAAGTGCAGATAGAGGCAACCTGCATGGAACCTCCATGAAAACTGCATCAGTTGGAAGGCGCCATGCAACCACGTTTAGACACAAGAAGCAACGAAACCTACATGAAACCTCCATGAAACCTACATCACTTCCCCATGGAACTTGCATGGCGGCTCCATCAAAGAAGGCGCCATACAAGCACCAGGTGTAGATGACAGGGAACATGTTCGAGACGTTTTTTTGGGGGCTCTTACGGTAAGTGTAAAGGCCGGGGCTTGATCAGGGTGCTGCAAGCGCGCAAGCCCTCAGGCGCAATGCAAGAGCAAAGCCAGGTGGTCTGTACATCGAGATCTGCCGCTTCAAGCAGCACGGCGCTCCAATACGCACACGAGCACCTTTGCAACTCTGGCGTAGTCTGGCTGGACGGAGCACTGGGGAGGAAGCGCCTGGGGTTCACAATGGGCGTCGCGGAAACGCAAACACAATCCGTCGACTTGCCAGCACTAATGCACACTGGATGCTGCGTTTAGAACACCGCCGAAATAGGCGCAAAGCAAGGCGCGGCTTGGACGATGTCTTGCCACGTTGGCAATGTCCTTGGCAGGGGAAGCCGGGAGAAGCCCTAATTCCTCCCTCAGTCTGTTTATGTAAACGCGCCAATCACGCATAAATCCCCAACCCTCGCAGCAATATGCACCCCCCTCTCCAATACATTTGCAGCTGTTTTTGGTGATGTATGCAGCACACGGGCCACAGTGTTCTTTGGTCAAATGAAGAATCTGGTTTGCTGGAAGCTCTGAAGCATGAAACCTGGGGGGCACATGTGTACCACATGCTGTCATACCAATGGTGAATCAGCAAAAAATGTAACCCGCCAAGAATTTGTAAACGTTTTGGGGAAATGTATGGAACCAGCTGCGGCATTTTTCCTGTAAATTCCCGTGTCAAGTGCCCCTTCTGATGTCTCTTGTGACATGTGGACATGCATTTCGACTGCGCAGGCTCGCACAAAGTGTTCGTCCGCGTTCTGGGGCGTGGCGTTTTTCCGGTAACTTTTTGTATAAAGTGGCTCTTCTGATGACTCTTGCGACATGTGGACATGCATTTCGATTGCGCAGCCTCGCACAAAGTGTGTGTCCGCGTTCTGGGCGCAATCTGGGCCGCGACATTTATCATCACCATCATCCTCATTCATCATCGTCATCGTCATCGTCATCGTCATCATCATCATCATCGTCGTCATCATCATCATCATCATCTCCTCCTCAACATCCACATCCACATCCTCCTCCTCCTCCTCCTCCTTCTCTACATCATCATCATCATCCTCCACCTCATCTTCCGCAACATTATCCCCCTTTTCATCCTCCTCCTCAACATCATCACCTTCCTCCTTCTCAACATCATCACCCTGCACCTCATCATCCTCAACATCATCATCATCATCATCATCATCGTCATCGTCATCGTCATCGTCATCATCATCATCATCATCATCATCATCGTCATCCTCATCATCCTCATCAACATCATCGTCCGCAACATTATCATCCTCGTCACCACCACCACCACCGCCACCACCACCACCACCACCATCACCACCACCATCACCACCACCATCACCATCAGCATCACCATCACCATCATCATCATCATCATCACCAACATTATCATACATTATTCTCCCATGCCCCCACACTGTTTGGGGCCTCTTGCCGGGATAACATGGAAACTGCATGGAAACCATCAGACGCTTTGATGCACATCGATCGCAAATAGATCGCAAACGGACCGTAACAAAAACGCACAAAAACTGTCATAGCATCTGTGCATTTTGATGTGGTTTTCACTAGGTCATCTGTCTTTGTTGATGTTCCTTTTTGTTTCTGCAATGGAAAAGTCAAAATTCTTGCAGAATTTCTATTTATTCTGAGTGTTCTTTGCTTGGTGATTTTAATTTTGGAAAGGCCAGGGTTTCAAGTGTGGATTTTGCAATGTGCAATTTTGATGTACTTTTATATCTGGGTTGATGTCAACTTGATGGAGGTTTTGAACATATGATATTGCAGAAAAACACTTTCATAAAAAATCAAAAGCACCAACAGAGATGAACTCTAAATGTGTATCTTGGATTCTTTGCTCATCAAACCATATGAATTGGCAGTCGTCGTTTTCTGCAAGCCGTATGCGCTTGTCGACGTCGTATTGATGGTGTTTTGTGGCCTTCTTATTCTTGTCTATGCGGATGCCAAATCGATCGACAAACCATTGCAACATGACCGCAAGACAACGTCGAAATCCTACATCAAAATGACACAGTGCAAAATCCACACTTGGAAAACCACATGCGATCGATTTGCATCAAAGCGTCTGATGATTTCTATGTAGTTGCCAAAAAAAAGTCTCGAACATGTTCCCTGTTATCTACACCTGGTGCTTGTATGGCGTCTTCTTTGATGGAGCCTCCATGCAAGTTCCATGGAGAAGTGATGTAGGTTTCATGGAGGTTTCATGGAGGTTTCATGTGGGTTTCGTTGCTTCTTGTGTCTAAACGTGGTTGCATGGCGCCTTCCAACTGATGCAGTTTTCATGGAGGTTCCATGCAGGTTCCATGGAGAATTGCTGTAGATTTCATGCAGGTTCCATGTGCGTTTTGAAGGTGTTGCCGTGTTGGTTTGTTTTATCATGTACTCTGACTGATGCAGGTTCCATGGAGGTTCCATGGAGGTTCCAGGCAGGTTCCATGGAGAATTGCTGTAGATTTCATGCAGGTTCCATGTGCGTTTTGAAGGCGTTGCCTCTATCTGCACTTGTTGGTTTTATCATGTACTCTGACTGATGCAGGTTCCATGGAGGTTCCATGGAGGTTCCGTGCAGGTTCCAGGGACTTATCATGGAGGTTGCGCACCAGTAAGCCAAATCAGCAAAACCAGCATGTAACCAACATGAAACCTGCATGCAAACAACATGGAAACTCCATCATAAAGCCTGCATCAGTCAGAGTACAGGATAGGACCACACTGGAATTGGCTTCAAAAAATTGTCTTTCCACCATTTCAAGAATAAAAAGACATTAAAAAAAATGCGATAGAATTAAAAAAGGTAGTTATAAAGTCAGTAATTAAGTGAGCAATCACGTGAAATTAAGGGAAATTAAATAAGTGTATCATTTCGGAGATGCAAGATGAGTATCAACCCAAAAGCAAAACTAACCTGGTAGCAATTATTGTTGTTTTAAGTCCGTTTTCTTTATTTTCCAGCCATTTCATTTTTTACAGGGTCTGACAATTTTTGTTATTTTTCGAAGTTCGCAAAATCGTCAATTCTCGGACTTCCAAACCACCACTAGTCAGCACTGAAAATTTCCATCTTCCCCATGATTTTTCAGCCAGTTGGAGCTACGAATCGAATTTCCCTTTCGCTGGCGGGTTACTATATGGAGGTTTCCTATGTAAACAGTGCAGCGGGAAAGCGTGACTTCAGGTTGAGGTTGAGCTGTGTGCGCCGGGTGCGCCGATTGCGCCTGGTGCGCCGGGTGCGCTGGGTGCGTGGGGTGCGCCGGGTGAGCTGGGTGCGCCAAGTGCGCTGGGTGCGCCGCGTGCGTAGGGTGCGCCGGGTGCGCCGGGTGCGCTGGGTGCGCTGGGTGCGCCGGGTGCGCTGGGTGCGCTGGGTGCGCTGGATGCGCGGGTTGCGCTGGGTGCCCTGGGTGCGCTGGGTGCCCTGGGTGCGCTGGATGGGGTGCGCTGGGTGCGCTGGGTGCGCTGGGTGGGTGCGCTCAATTGGCTGAGTGTGTGGGAGGGTGTGGGCGCAGGTGCAAGCGAACATTTTGTAATGTAGCGTGGGGTTCCAATGCAAATTTGAACAGAATGGAGCAAAGCATCAACTCTGCGTGGAGGAAGGTGTACGTAATCAAGCATGCGTGCTACGTGGACAGCCTGCAGCGTACCATCAAGAACATGCAAAAGAGCAAGTCAACATC